AGTTCCATGTCTTATTTGAATTTAATTCTAAAATTAGATTCCTACCTAACCTAGAATTACTGCAATAAAAGTCAAAGATAAAGCAAACAAGACTGACGGTTTCTTGCGCATGGGAGGGGGTTTTGTGATTTAGCTTGTTTTAACCAACAATAAATGATCATCAGAAATGATAATGATTAATTTTTTCCCCCTTATTTCACAAACATCGCCAATTTGGCCAATTTTTGCAATGTTTCGCTCAATAGTTGATGGCGTGATTTTGAAAGATTGCTGTAATGGAGTAAAATACTAACTTCCAAACCCTAAAAGAAATAGTACAATTTAATGTCTAAACAAATCTTAATGTTTTCTTTTTTCTAATTTTAACTGTTTTTCTTTCAAATATTGTTTATTGTATGGTTGTTACAGCTCGTTAAATCTGTACACTTAACAATTTTGGATAAATTGGGGGAAAAAATGTCTTGAATTTGGTGTATTTTGTTCCTGGTTGTCATCGCAATCTTGTTCTTCAAACTTTTTGCGGCTAAACGTAAACCTTTGAAAAGAGAATTCAAGCGCAATTGTATGAAACAAAATATAAAGAGAAAGAACCGTATTTCTCTTTTATCTCGTAGATCTAAAAGATTAAAAGTGTTGAGGAAGGTCTGTTGTTTACCTCCTTTTTCTTCTTTTTTTCTTTTCTATCCTATTACTAAAAAGTTTCAAACTTTTTCTTCAAGAAGTTTTATCTTCTAATAAATGATGTTTAGAACAGTGCCTCCAAACTTCTTATTTCGGAATTGATCTCTTTTATAGCAGTTTGAATTGCCGAAAACACAGTAAGTTTACCTACTACGATTTCGAATTTTTTTTTTTTTTTAGAAGAATATTTTATTAGTAGAAAAGTTTAGACACGTTTTACATTTATTTCAAACATGTTTGAGACTTCTTCATAAGCAAAAAATTATATTTTTTTTTTNGTACAATTAATTGTTATATATATATATATACACATTCATGCACACATACAGGGGTTGGATAAAATAATGGAAACACTTCTATACTACTAATTTTTTCATACTTCTTAAGAAATACATACTTTGAAAATAATTTTATAACTTCTGAGAAGTGTTTTGTTTAGTAAATTACGAACGACAAGAGATGTTTTTTAACACCTTATGCCAAACAAAATAGCGATAAGCTTATTGTAACTTATATAAATTACATTGTTTAATATATGCAATAAATGTACAAAATTTCATAAACCTAGCTTAAATATTCATGAAGCTTAATTATCTTTAAATCAGTCCAGCTGAAATATCAGTAAATGATCATTTTTACAAGATAATAATAATTTTTTTATACTTACGTTTTTTTTTTTACTGTAACTGCTGAAATATTCAATAAAATTTAACAAAATTTTTAGAGTAATTTTTAGTTAATAAAAAAAAATTTAAAATTTGAAAAAACTCTTAAACATCTTAAAGCTTTAAACTTTATTGATATGTATGAGAAATCGCATGACCTAAATACTAACTAATTCTCTAAATATTTCTTGAGAAATATGAATAAATGAGTTAGAGTATAAGTGTTTCTTTTATTATGTCCTACAACCCCTGTGTTGTGTGTGTATATACAGGGGGTGGACGAAATAATGGAAACACTTCTACTAATACATTTTTTCATCTTTCTCAAATACTAAAATAATCATTTTATAACTTCAGACATCTTTAGATCATGCGGTTTTTCATAAATATCAATGAAGTTTAAAGGTTTGAGGGACCGACAAAAAATTACAAACAGAAAATAATGTTTTTGAACACCTTATCTTAAAAAATGTAGCAATAGATTTGTAACTTGTGACAGTTATATTTGTTATTAAATGCAATAATTGCACAAATTTTTGTAATCCTAGCTTTAATTATGAAGATATGGACATTTTTATTTAAAAAAAAACTAATTTTTTATGCTATAACTTTGGAAATATTCAATAAAATTATACAAAATTTTCAGAGCAATTTAAAATTAATTACAAATAGTTTGCTTTAAGATTTGAAAAAAAAATTATTAACAACTGTGCAATATATAAGTAATTAAAGTAGTTATTTTATACTGCGCATGCACGGAAATTCCCCCTCCCCCTTTTTTTTTAAATATAATTTTGTAGTGAATTGTATTTGGCAACTAATGAGAAAAGTCCGATTTGAATGTCGTATAAATTTAAATTGTTTCAAGCTCAAAATGATAAGGAATTTCTATTAATATTATTTTGTATCATAAAACGATAAGGAAAGAAAACGTGAGAAAGAAAAAATACTTTTATGGGGGTGATAACATTACCGTTCACCGTTGTCTTATTTTAATAAATCCTGTTTAATAGTTCAAAAGGAAATATGTGGAAAACCCCTTATTTTGAGCTTTCTTTCTAAAAATTCGGAAACTACATAGAAAATTGCTTGAAACTTTTTAAATTTTTAAGATATTTAAATAGGACTTTTTTCATTAGTTGCCAAATACGATTTTCTACAAAATTAAGAAAAAATATTTTTCAATTTTTCCTACGGAAGAGCAGTATAAAGGAACTACTTTAATATTCAGTAAAACCTCGGTACAACAATATTTAGGGGACCAAATAACTATATTGTTGTAGAAGGATATATTGTTATAAGGGCCAATAAGATTTTTTTCACACAATAAGATTTTTAATTTTAATAATATTAAAATTAAAAGATTATAAAAATAATAAGATTATAATTTTTTTAATATTAAGTATAAATATATTTATTTATTACGTAAAAAATTAGTTTGCAGAGTGTTAATTATGGTTAAATATTAAAAACAATTGAAAAAAATGCAGAAAATAAGATCTTAAACATACCCTGAAAATCAGGGCTCGAAAAACAGTCCGTCCGCCCGTCCTCGACGGTCAAAAATTCTCCGCGGACAACGAATTTCTCGAATCCGACGTCCGCGAAGACGGCCATTTTCCCGTTAATGTTCGTGATACATTTTCAATTTTTGTTATCTTACAAGAGCCTTGTAAGTTACAAGGCAGCAAAATGACCCACAATACAGCAACATACTGCGCATATATTGATGTTTTCTCTGTCTGGGAGTACTGCAGCGGTTGAAAGGGGCTTTGCAGCAATAAACTTACAAAAAAAACACTATACGTACTGGTCTTAAACAAGAAGCTTTAAAAGCAATTATGAACATCTACCTAAATGGAAAACCCCTTTCAGATTTCTGTTCAGAAACCTCTGTAAATCATTGGCTTGATTGTGCAACTGGCAAACGTCATATTTGATTCATTTAAAAAACGCAGTACCCTCAGATAACTTGACATTCCAGATAACTTGACCCTTTTCATTTAAATTATTTCATAAAAAAATACTAGGGTACTATTAGTAACATAGTATTTCTTTTATTACTGTATAATGTAATCCTAGTAACTACTAATTCATTGTGCAACTTATATAAATGTTTGCAATAAATAGGAGAAAATTATATTTTTATTTATTTAAAAGCGACGGGTTAGTTTCAACGGAGGACGGGTGCATTGTTGGACAAGGCGTCCTCGGGGACGGGTAAAATTTCTGAGTTTTTTCGAGCCCTGCTGAAAATCGTTTTTATTGAAAATAATCCTGTATTTAGTGTTTGTTTATTATTTTTTTTACTGTTAAGTCAACCAGCAAAAGGTATGCATTGAATCCAAAGCACGAAAATGATTTTCGTTAGTGAATGGTGTGTTATTGTGATGCTTGTGGTCATTTGTGACTCATGATCAGCTTTTAACATGAAGGAAATGAAATCAGATAAAAGAATGTTACATCTGTGATTTCTTGAGAAATAAGTGGGGCAATTCTAAGAAAGGAAGCTCTTGGGATTGTCAGCAGTAAGTCATCTCTTGTCAGAAAAAATGGCAAAAGATAATAAAATAAATTTTTTTACATTATTTGAAAACCAATAGTAAATTGAGAAAATAAGGTTAAAATTTGGAGAAATTTTTTTTTTTTTACTGGGGTTCATTGCTTGAGTAATATTTAAAGGAGGATAACATTAGTTCATATGCAAGTTCATCGGGACCATGAAACATTATCGTAATAGAGGGTGGTATTATGTTGGATATCGTAGTAGCGAGAGTTCACTGTATATAGGAAAATAATAAAGATTAATGAAAAGAGAATAAGAAAAATTATTAAAATAAAATATTTTTTTTTATTTTTCTTTATTATGAAAAATAAAGAAAAATTTAAAAAAATATTTTATTTTAATAATTTTTCTTCTCTTTTCATTAATCTTTATTATTTTACATGTTTTCTCTATATTTTTAACTTGTTTTTTGAGTTCTTTATGCTTGCAGCTTAGGCGCAGTAAATAAAACTAATTGATTTTCTTAGTTTCTCTTTTTTTTCTTTTTATCCTTTTTATCTTTATTGTGCTATATATGTAAGGAAATAAAAAGAGAAAGATCATATGATTAAAACATATTTGCAGTTTTTCTTTTTGAAACACAAATGTCACTTTAACAGGTTTATTGGGTAATACCTAATAATAATAATTAGAATAACAATACCCCATTAGGGTTTATCATGAAAAACTTCAATATGGGGAATACCAGGCAAGTGTCGATCTGGCAATGGCACTTTACCTTAGAAATCCGCAGAGTAGAGAATATCAGGAGAGTATGATGGAGAATGTTTTCAATTTTAAAAAAGTATTATTTTTTTTCGAAGTTAATCCTAGCAGTTCATTTGAATCAGATGGTTCTGGTTTTGAATACGGGATAAATTAGATTCGTTGTTGATTATCAAATCCGTTCATTGAACTAAATCAGCTATTTCTAACCAACAATTGATTTAATTCAGTTGATTGATGTATATTTAAATATGTTGCAGAAATGTGTTTATTCAAATCACATGTTAACGATTCATTTTGTCTATTTCTAATACCATATAATTGCTCTACAAATGTTCAGAAAACTGTACACGATTAATGTGTAATGATTTGCATGTTTTTAGGTCAAATGCTTATTCACTGGCTATGTTCAGCTTTCCCTGATGATCATTATCTCCGTTTTCTACTCTCCAAGCAAGATCTCAAGATCCTTGCGGCTCAATTTTGCACCAATCTGCTTGCTGCTGGTGTTCTTAGGCAAATTGAAGATGAGAATGCCCCCTTAGCCAATCTCTTTCGGGTAACTGTTACATTGCATATTCATCTATTTTATCAGTTTCTTACACTAAAAAGGGACATCAATGCAAACAAAATGTTGCATTGATGTTTATTTTTAGGGCAACAGTTATAAATATATTTTGAAACATTCTTATATATCTTGCACTGGTCTGGTGTTCTTTGACTGAATGAATATGAGAATACCACCGTAACCCAATTTTGTTTTTAAATGTTTGTTGTTACATTACACATCAGTATGAATTAATATATTTTTGTACTAATTAAGGAACATCAATACAATTAAAATGTTGCATCACTTCGTAGTGTCAGGCATTGAAAATGAACACAAATTTCTTCGAAAAGCTCTCTTTTAAAACATAAGTTAAATTTAAAATCATCTAATTTTTATATCAAATGTTTAGTACATCATAAAGTATCAAAAAAATATTTTGTTTTATAAAAGCTGATTATAAGTTCAAATTAAATTAATTAGATTGTTGGTGTAGGATGTAAATCACAGGGATGCAAAAAATTAGTACTCATTTACAAATTGTCTAAACTCTGTGAGTTTGTGTGTAATTTAATTATAAATTTGACAAATTTTGAAACTGACAATTGAAAAAAAAATTCTAGAAAGTTCTCAATTTGTAAAATATGGTGTATAATTAATTTGAAATTTTTTACTTTGATGCCAGACATTAAATATTTGAGATCGGATGTAAGTTCTTCAGCTTTGATATTAGTTAATAATAACAATTATAAATGCTGAAAACTATTTTAATCTTTATATTAATACTATTACCATTATTTTTCCATTAAATAGCATCTTATAATTTAAATTTTCTTCAATTTCTCATTGGAATAGGTTGATCAATGTCTTTTCGGCAGTTGGATCATTTTCCATCTTGTGAAACTTGCAAATTGATGAGGCAAAAAGAAATAATGAACACTTATCACTACTAAAATATAAATATTAATGATAAATATAATTTAATGTATTAAAATTCGTTTAAAGCCCTAACTATGTCTTCGCTTGCATTAGCGAGGTTTGGTACTTACATTTGAATGTTTATGGTAATTCTTTAGCAAGCATTCAAACTAACCTAAGTTTAAGCATGTGGTTAAACTAAAGAACAGTTTATGTAGGTAAGTTGCTTTTCTCGAAGAAAAAAAAACGAAAAATAAATAACTACGGAATATTCCACAAAAAAAAAACAAAAAAAAAAACATTTTGCTCCAAATGAACGCTATTTAAGCTCTTCTAAGCAAAATGATTGATTAAAAATCCTCTAAATTAAGAAAATGTATATGTTTTAAAATATTCTTAAAAAATTAAAATTGGGTTGCTTACCTAAGAAAATAAATAGATATATTTCATTAATCAATTTTAAGTTCATAATATAAATATAACTTTGGGTACTTATTAAAGCAGATTTTATTAGGCTGCTGACGTGAAATACATTATTCTAAATTGATTAACCTAAATGAATATTTGGATGGTTTCTCTTCATATTTCACATAATTTTAAAAAAAAGAAAATTTAAAAAAATATTAGTTGGAAGTAGATGAAAACAAATGTAATGAAAAGAAGGCAGTGGTGTCAGACATAAAAATAATTAATTTGCAATAAAAATAAATATTTTTTTCAAAATCAAAATGGATTATACAAATGAGACTTAGAATTTTGGCTTTAAACAGAAAAAAAAAATTTATGTTAAATCTTAGTGGCACAGTACAATTAATTGTGTATTTTGGTGTCGAACAGTAATCATCAAAAGTGCATTTTGGAAAATTTTTCTGCAAGTTAAAATGTGAAATGTTTCTACACATTTGTGCAAGGTAATCTGTTTTGTTACAGTTTACTTTAAACATTATTTATTCCATTTTCGGTTATTAGAGTTAATTTTTCAAAAAAAACTTTACTTGTTAGAGATTTACTTACCGTGGTTTAAAAATTTCAAATGTTCTGGCCCTTCATTTTACAGCCCATAGCTTATTAAAAACTCATATTAATAAGTTAAAAATCATTATTCCTAAATTGCAATTTTTTTTACCTCGAAAATGATACCTTGTTTGCTTAAAAATATTAAGTTTAAAATGTTGGTATCTGGTTAACTTTACCGTGGAATTGCTCAGCAGAATTATTTTCCATTGTAGCTTTCTTATATATTTCCACCTATAAACGTGCTGCTGGTGTTATGCTGTTTTTAGGCAAAATGAAGAGGAAAAATGCCCCTTAAGACAACCTTTTTTGTATAAATGTATGTTAGGTTCATACCTATGTTGTTGATATCATATATTTTTAAACTTATGATACTTTGAAGAAAATAAATTTAAACTCACCCTTTGATACTTTGATGTGTGTGACTTTGAACTCATGTTGTATATTATTTTAAATTAATTGAAGATTGTAAATAAAAATGTTATTATATTTGTTTAGCCTGACCTGATGTATTATTGGACTCATTCAGAATCTCAGCCTTCGAGTGTTCCTCCTCCTGGAAAATTATCTCCTACGGTTTGGCCTACGCCCACAATACCTGAAGTACCTGAACACAGACAGTATTCTGAAACTGGTAATGGTTCTATGCAAAATAAGATAATAGCCCCTTATTGTTTAAAGTGTCAAATATAATCTCAAATCAGTCAAACGTCTCCTCATAAAGCTTACCGAGAACAGCCCATTGTGGGTCAGGGGGCATGGAGATTGAAGCTTTACTGTATCGAGACCAATGGCATGATGGTGGCAGTGTGTTCAGTATTGCACAGTGACTGCTTTTAGGTTTCTGATAGGTTTCAGCCTCCCTGACCTATCCGTCTGACTGGTTGGACTTCAATCTGCCATAAAGATTCAAGTCAGTGCTTTCACCACTGAATCAGTGCAGCTAAATGAATTACGATTGATGATTTAATATTTTTAAAATACTTATCTAGGGATTGTAAAACTCAATCCTTATCCCCGGCTTCAGTTATAGGCAGTTGGGTGGGTAGAATTCGGTGTCGTTAAATGCTTTATTTTTCCTTCAAAATATTCACTTTTTTACTTTTTGATCTGGTATGTATTTCTCGAAAAATCTTCATTTTAAACAATTTAAACAATATTTCATTTTTTGGTTAAGCTTCCTTTGTGAACCATAATGCAAAACCCCATAAATCAAATGTAGATACTTCTTTCTGAAAAATCGAAATTTACAATAAAAAATTGGGGTTCCTATTTAAAGTTTTGAAGTTGACTTAAGGGGTGAAACGTTTAAGTCGAGTACGGTATCATTAGATTGCTTTTTGTAAAATAATAAATAAATGTTATTTTCTTTTTGGTCAAATGTGTATTTCTCAAGACCTTCTGGAATTTTTTGGACATCCTGTACACAACAGTTTTGAATATCTCCGTTATATTTCATGAATATTGAAAATTAAAATTTGCCGAGTGTTAAAAAGTACTTCAGTTTATCATATAAAGGTAACATCTTACTTTTTCAAACAATTCTGTTTTATATGTCCTTCATAGTAAACCCGAAAATAACCACTGGCCACTTGCTATTTGGCGAATTAACAAAAAAAAAAAGTAACAGCTTCAATTAAATTAACAACCGGCTACTTTTTTCAAAATATTTGTTAAATGATAAAAGTACATCAATGCGAAAAGACTCTGGAAAACAAAATTTTCATTAAAATGCCCAATGCCTCCATTCAAAATTTTGATCTTTCAGAATCCATCAATTAGTAATGAAAGGATGCAATTAGTAATGTAATATTTTTAATTCTCACAAAAAAAAAAAAAAAAAAAATAAGTGTTGAATTTATGATGTAATTTTTTTTATAGTTTTTCCAAACCATATTTTAAAACATTAGTTAACAAATTATTTTTAGTTGATAATAAGATAAATATGATAGGCTAAATACATTTTTATTTGAAGTGTACATTTTTAAAGGCATCTGGAAATAGATAAAAATTTCATTGCTTGTCATTTTCTTATTGGAATGATTTTATATACAATGACTAAGAAAGTGTATAGTTAAAAATTGCTTCTTTCTGGTTTTTAAAGGTTTACAGATGCAATATTTGATAAATAAATATTAATCTTTGTTCTTCTGTTTTTTGCAGAATTACAGAATATTATCTTAAATATGAAGAAAGAACATAGAGATACCATTGACAAAATCCAAGTAAGATAGTTCTGTATATTCTTTTATAAGAATAACTTTAAACATTGCACCCATTTAAAAATTTTCATAAAAATGATATTTTCAGAAGGAGCGGGAAATAGCTCTTTTTAACCTCCGTGGAGAACAAGCTTCCAAGATGAACGAATACGAGAAAAAAGTCACTCGATTGGAACGAGAAGTTGAGAAGTATCAAACACTCGCCGCAATCGAAGAATTGACAAGAAAGGCCAAACGAGATCTGGATACGAGTCCTCTTTCACCTTCGCTAGATTTGAAATCATTCCTTACATCAGCTGTTCCCATACCCGAATCGCTCGTTCCGCGATCACGTTACTGCCAAACTGAGCCATTCTATTTATCTTCTGTGACAGTTCAGACTGATTCTTCTATGATGGTCGATGCTGGTTCATCTCCCATCAAAGAACTTTTGTCTGGATTAAATCAAAAATCTGCCAAGCCCTTGGTTCAGACAGTTTCCCCACTTCCTCAGCAAACAAATGCTGAGGAAGCTTCAGAACTGGTTTCTGTTATTCCTGAAAATGTTCCTGCTGACAAGTCTGAAGAATTAAGTGTTTCCTCATCACCTAGTTCATCTGAAGTCACTAATTGCCAAGGTACTTTTTCCTTGTTATTGATTTACGAACAATTTGCCCTAAGTCTTATTTTTTTGTTATAAAAATATTTGATGTAAAATAAGCATGTTACGTTATGTTGAGACATATTGCTGACAAAATAAATATTGTATCCCAAAAAATTCATATTTGTCTATCATATATCAAATACTTTTACAAAAAAATACAATTGTTGTATTAGCCATCTCTGAAAGGCTAAACTAAGTCTATATGAACTAGCAAATTGCCAATGTACTTTTTTTTTGTTATTGCTACAAATTAAGTATTGAAAACCCTTACCAAATACCTCATGAGTCATAATCGCCAAAGTAGTTTTACCTTTATAATAATATAAATTAAAAAATTAAATTAACTTTATATAGATCACGTGAACTTACTAATTGTCAAGGTTCTTTTTTTCTTGTTATTAATACAAATAAAAATACAAAATTAAATTTTTTAGTTTACCTGAGAACTTTGTAATCGCCACATTATTTTTCTCTTTGTTATTGATATAACTAAAAGCTCTAAATGAACACTATTAAGTTCAACTGAACTCGCTAATTGCCATTTTTTCCTTGCTATTGATACAATTAAAAGTACTGAAGTAACATTATCCAGCTCATCAGAGTCACTAATTACGAAACTTATATTTTCCTTTTCTTAAATACTAATACATGATGTCTACATCTGTCATGCGTTACAACTACATTTGGCAGGAATTAGTATTAGTGAGTTAATTAGATATATTAACTAAACATAACCACAATAGTCGATGCTTTAGTTGGGCTAATATAATTGATTCTGATTCTTGTAAAACTTTTCATTCAATCATTCTGTTTGCTAATTTCTTTTGCTTTTGCTTTAGATATAATTCATATCATTATTTAATTTTGTTATCTCAAATACTTAGTATTGTTCGAGTTGGGCATTGTCTGGTATGCCATTTAACCATTTTTCATGCTTTACAATACATACTTATAATTATATTTTCAACTTTTTTTTTTCTTTTGCATTTATCTCAGTTTATATGTTTTCTATTTTGCAGTTACACAAACCTCATCAGTTCCTGTAAGTAGTTCAACACTGTCACCATCATGTCCTATAACAAGTATCCCTTCTCCTCCACCACCACCACCCTTACCAGATACCTCAAGTCTAATGCCAATTTCACCTGTACCACCTCATCATCTACCTCCTTTAAGCAAAACCATTCCACCACCACCTCCCCCTCCACCACCTGCCCCATCAATTGGAAGTAATATACCACCACCTCCTCCTTTACCACCAATTGGTGGGATTCCACCTCCTCCGCCTCCTCCACCACTCCCAATGGGTGGCATACCTCCTCCTCCGCCGCCGCCGCCGCCACCAATGGGTGATATACCTCCTCCACCACCGCCACCTCCCATGGGTGGTATACCTCCTCCACCACCACTACCATCTATGGGTGGCATTCCACCTCCACCACCTTTACCAACACTTGGAATGCCACCTCCTCCACCACCACCTCCTGGAGCAGCGACAAGTGGTGTTCCCGTTTCACCATCTCCTTTACCTCCACCACCTGTTGGTGGTTGGTATGGTGCTTACCAGCAAGGTAATATATGAAAATTTCATTGATAATTTCTTGTAAAAATATGGTATTTATATTGCTGAGGGTGGCCACAGAACAGGGGAAATCGGAGAGAACAGGAAAAAGTCATAGAATTTTATAAGTCTTGAAAAATCAGGGAATTTATTTAAAACTAGTTGGTTCCACTCCCTGTTTGCTGATGATTGCTAAGCTATCTTAATATGGTTTGCTTTACAAACCATGCCCACTTCGCTCCCTACTAAGTTTTAAGAATTTAGATTAAATCAGTTATTAAAATCTTAAAAATTAGTTCTTAAAAAATTAAAAAATTTTGACAATAAATTCTTTGAATAAAAGAATTTTAAATTGAAATAAATGGCATGCAATAGAAAAACTTACAGAAACACAAAAAAAAATTATGCTTTTAAAAAACAATTACTATTAAAATTTCACAACTTTGTTAAAACACAATAATAAATTTTTGAAATTTGAGCTATCTCTGTTATAGCTGCCAAAAGACCAAACTATTAAGAAGTTCAGTTAAAAAAAATTACATGCAATAGAAAAACTTAAAAAACTAAGCATTAATGATTCTTTTAAAATACATAACAGCACGACTTATGCTCACTTTTCAATGAATAACAATGAATAAAATTATTATTGAACATGCATAAGTATAATAAAAACATAAAACAGAACACTTTGTACATTTGTATGAACTTTTTGCTTTTAACCTTTCAATTCTTCTACATATAACTCAGTTTGTTTCAGCTTTTTGCTGCCCATAGGAGGAAAAAAAAGTGTTAATTCAGAAATTTGTAAACATATGCACTTATGTGTTCATGCTTATGACGGTCCACATGCTTAATATTTCAAATCTTTGTTGTCAATGTGAAAAAAAATGCACTTTCTTTGTTGCTGTCAATATAAATTTTTTATTTTTAATTCTTTTTGTTTTTGCAGACTTTACGACTTAAAATGTTCTATGTTTTTTTAGTGTCCTATATTGTCTTCTATTGTAAAATTACAAGTTAAAACATTTTAAAGTTTTGATATTTTTTCTCTTTGAGTACAAACAGTATACCCCTATGTAGCAGTCATATGTAGATCATAACCACCAATACAGGTCAGTGTCTCTAAAGGTCCATGCATTAGTATAGGATTTGTAACATAGTTTCATTAATTTTCATGTAATTAATTTTCATTTTAAAATATTCTTGATTAAATAAACTCATTAAAATATTTTATTATTTTTAATTTTAAAAAAAGTGTCTATGTAAATCCAGATAAATTAAATTAGATTTAACAGAATTATGATTAAGTACAAAAAATTTTATTTTAATTAAAATGTGGGTAAAAGTGAGGAAAAAAAATTACTTACATTTGCAGTCAATCTGAGCAGCTGGTTAAACGTTACAATAAAGGGAAAAAGTACTCAGAGTCAATTGACATAATGAATGAATGTTCTGCTATCAAGGTGTAAATGATCACATATTACTATCTATAATTTTCAATTGCCCTGTTTTGATTATTAAGTTCGTCCTATTTCCTTATTCTCTTGTTATAGCACATTTCAATGAAGAACTTAATTTGATTTTGTTTTATATCCATAATTTTTTTTGGTCCAAATATTGCAGTTCAATAAATATATATTAGAATTCTATTTAATTTCTTATGTTTAATGGAATATGTTTGTCTTATCTTAGCTCGTAAACCTGCAATAAGTCCTAAAGTGCCCATGAAGCCTCTCTATTGGACTAGAATTCAAGTGCAAGAACCAGTTGAAACAATTCCAGAGTAAGTGTGAGTCAAATCTTTCGAAAATTAATTTTCTATTTTGTAATATTATGTATAGACGTAGTAGGCTCCTTATTATCTGGCTCATTACTATCTGGCCTGTTAAAAAATGAAATATAGGAATCAGTCATTTGTAAAACTCTTCACAACTAGGTAAAATGATGCATGCTAAAGCTCTTGTCTATACATTTCATAAATACATAAATATTCCTGTTCATCACAATTGGAACATAGGGCTGCTATCATAGCTTACCATCTCACTCTTTTTGTGGCCAGATATTTTCCATCTCTTTATGTCTTTCCTATTGTTTTCAATCGCCCTGCGCCAAGTATTTTTAGGTCTTCCTCTTTTTCTATTGCCCTCAGGGTTCCAATCAAAAACTTGTTTTACTTTAGATTTTTCAGGTTTGTGTAGAACATGACCAATGATTTTCCATCTACATTTTTTTATTTTTACATCAGTTTCTGTTTTGTTTTTCAGATCAATCAGTTTCTGTTTTGTTCAATCAGTTTCTGATTTCTGCGTTACAAATTTTATGGGACCACTTAATAGGCGAGATTCTTTTTAAACAGTTGTTAATAAGTACTCTTGAAGTTTTACATGTTATTTTTATTGCAGTATACCCTGTCTCAAATCCATATAATAGGAGACAGATTTAACATTAGTATTAAAAATTCTAATTTTTGTTGAATTTGTTATGTTTTTGTTTTCCAGAATTTATTGAGAATACCGTAATTGATTCGGGCTTTGTTTAATCTATTTAATATATATTCATCAATTACTACATTGTTGTTAAGTATACTTCCAAGATATTTGTAACTGCTATCCTCCTCAAGTTTATTATTTTCTTAGAATATGTCCTTTAAATGCTTAGGATTATTTTCAAAATTTTAGTTGACAATAAGTCTTATTTTCTTTACCTCTGTGTTTAAAATGTTTGTTTGCATGTTTTGAAGGCTGTTGATCAGTAAACTTAAGTCGTGTGCAAAATTAAAATCAATAAGATACTCAGCAAGGTTCCATCTTATACCCCTTTTATTCTCTGATACTATCTTCATAAACAAGTCAATAGCAATTAAAAAGGTTGTTGGAGAAAGTATACAACCCTGTCTAACACCAGAATCAACCTTGAAGGATTCTGGTTGTTGGCTGGCATGAATAAATCTTATTTTTAATTTTTATATAGATGTCTAATAATGTTTACAAAACATTTGAGATTCCCATGCTAGTTCAACAACTTCCAGAGTGTTTTACTGTGTAAACTGTCCTAAGCCTTTTCAAAATCTGTGAAATTTAAGTTTTTTGTTGATTGCCATTCAATAGATTGTTCGACTATAATCCTTTAACAATCTTTGCAATCCTCCTTTGTATTTTTATAATTTTTCCACTTTTTATTATATTTTTCTAGAAATGTTTTATTTACAAATGTTTTATTATATGTTTTTCCAAAATCTGCAAATAAAACTTCAATACCTGTATTGAAAAAGATTGAGCTCAGTTGCTGACAATTTGGATTTGTCAATATTACTTGTTAAGATTAGAGGAATTTTAATTGATTAGTTTTTATAAAGCTTTAAATTTTGTCTGTTAAACTGAAGTTTTGAAATCCAGTTTTGTTTTTAAGTCTTTCGTATTTTTGTGTTTGAAGGAACTCTTTTATGTTTGAAAGAACATTAAATATTACTATCAGACTTTTATCAAGTTGTACAAAACAAAAGTATTGAATTATAAATTAAAATAAGAAGTAGATTTTTACCTGAAAAATAAATTTTTTTGCACCAGTGGTGAGTTAAATTTCACAGAAATGAAGAAATTAGGTTTTTTTAACAAGAGAAAAGTGTTTTAAAAGCATGCAAATTTTTTACGAAAATTGTCCCCAAAAAAATGACAACTAATATATTTTAGTTCATAGGCCGCATGTGGCCCACGGGCCACCAGTTGGTAACCACTGTTTTAAAGCATCAATTTTTTTCCATAAACTAAATTTAATTTTGGAAAGGTATGTCCTCTATTAATTTTCTGAAGATGCAAAGGGATCTCCAGATAAAATCAAGTGTAATTAAACTCTCTTTATTACTCTTTTTAAACTAAGAAGTTCCCCCAGGTGGGAGTTTCCCTCCCCCCTCCAGTTGAGAACACTCTACTCCACTCTAACCACTCTACTCACTCCACTCTAGACAGATATACTTGATTTTAGGAGTAAATGTGAACTAAACATTCTGTATAAAAGCTTTGAGTAAAAAAATTGTTAGTTTCTTTTCTTTTTGTTTTGTTTCTTAAAATGTCATTTAACGTTAAATCCATTTGAGCAATAATTCAGGAGATAGTGTAAATTAAGTTTTTTATATGTTGGAAGTTTTGAATAAAATCATGTTTTGGAATTTCATAAAAACATTCACAACATGTTGTTAAAACTTTTTTAATAATAACCAATTGTGAAAGTTAAAAAGTATATTTATTGTTGTTTAATGTATCTTGGTGAACAAATACTAAGTTTACATAAATTTATGTATTGTACATAAATAAATAGCATATCATTAAAACACAATTGTAAATGATTTCTATTTTCTTATATCTTGTGTGTTATTAAAAAATATATTTCACTGAACTTCTAAAGCCACAATGGATGGATTTGGATTTTTAGTGAAAAATATGAATTATTTAATGATCAAAATATGTAAAAAAAAAAAACATTCGTTAATATTTTAAAAAAAAGTGACATATAAATCAAAAAGACCTTATTACTTTTGTTCAAATAGTGTATATTAGTTAAAAGATATTAGCTAAGATTTTTATATAGATCTTTAGAAGTAGTATTTTTTACAGATTCTTTTATTAATCTTTTTTTTAAAAAAACAATCTGTTGTGTTAAAATTTGTTGATTTTTTCTAATTGTTTACTTGAAAGGAGTAAAACTAGTTTGTGGCAAAAGCTAGAAGAAGTTAGCACAACTGATTTGGATGAATTTGTGGAACTTTTCTCCCGCCAAACACCTGAAAGAAAACAGCCTTCAAAAATTAAAACTAAAAAGGACAAGTCCAAAGAAGTAATATTAACTCTTGTATTTTTTAACTTTATATTTATATATACATAAAGCTCTTGAACTGTAGTGATTGAATGTTTTCGTTTATTTGGAAAAGTACAAAACATAATCTGGGGTTTACTAACAAAAATTTTTAAGAAATTGATTTATCTCAACTTTACATTATTTTCAATGCAAAATTATATGCAGTTGGACCTGTTTATCTCGAATCTCACGGAAAAAGGTGAAAAATTTAAGATAAAGAGGTTTCAAGTTATACAGGTACTTTGAAAAAATTAAATTTAATTAAGAAATTCTAGTGCTTTAATTGTTTTTTGTAGAAAAATACAGGCATTTCTGTAAATTAATTATACCTCATACATCTATTTACATAACATTTTTTTAATATACATTTAACACTGAAAAAAAATTTTCACAATTTTTTGACGTCTGTCCTTCTTTGTTTTGATATTATTCTTTTAAGGTTAAAAAAAGCAGCAAAAAATAGCATAGTCAACATTTTCCTGGGATTCAAAAATAGTTTGTAAGAGTTCTACATCTTTTTTTACCTCTTTTGCACTTACCTTTGGTTCATCCAAATGATCTTCAGCTTCTTCCACTTCATCTGATATTCTATTGACGTTATCTAAGATTTCCACGTCTGTTAATGTTCCGCATGTTGCCAGGCAGTTGTCCACTTGTAAAAAATCTTCAAAATTTATTTCAACATTAAATCCTAATTTTATTGCATTCCATTCCTGCAAATCTGGCACTGCATTTCCAGCGTCAACAGTTTCTTCTTCTTTACTGATGCTTTCAACCTCTTGTTCATCATCTTCAAAGCTATTCTTAAAACCAACCTTTTTAAAACCATTTTGAATTGTTTTTCGAGACACATTTCTCCAGGCATAAGTCATTCTGATAGCATCTAGCACATTTATTTTTCAAAGAGAACTTTTTTTCATCAATGACATGTACAAGTTTGCATTCCAACTGTTTTCTACGGTGCACTTTAAAATTCCTAATTATCCTTTGATCCATTGGTTGCAATTTTGAGGTGAAAATTAATATCTATTCCTAGCTTTTTTACCTACGTTGAAAAACTAACCCCTGCTGATCATTCCATCCTACTCATCAACCCCTCACTTAATGCCAGAATCATTGCATTCCTTTCTAGTTAAGGAAGTGCAGGGTTAGTGTTTGAAATTCCCTGAACACCGCCAACCTGTTCATCCCTACTTCCTGTGGATTTACGAAATTCATCTCTGTTTGCAAGTTCTACTGATAAAGAAAGTTTTGACATTTGTCTTTTATTATTTGAAATTCGAGAAACCAAGATTTTGAGAAAAGAAATTCCGACATAAACATGGAAAATACATTGATTTTAGGCAGCAAATGTAGGAAATTTTAGAAATTTTGAGATATAGAGGTTTTTGATATAAAGAGATTCAAGATAAACAGGTTGAAGATTAACAGGTTCAACTGTATTTGGCTTAAAAAATTGTAAATAAATCTGGTGAAAAGTTATTCGTATATCATCAGTATAGACAAATTTCTTATGTAAAATTAGTTTAGAATTTTAATGACCTTTCATTTCTAAATTTCTGATCTTTTTCTCAATTTAGTGTTTAATATACAGGGTTATTCATAATTCCCTCCGCCTGTAAACGCCATTTTTCTTTACTACAACTGGCTTCCGTGGTACATGTAACTGCCATCTACCGGCAGCTGCTTAAATTAAAACTTGAATACTTTCGAAATAATTTCATATGTTCTTTTTTGCCATATTTGTCTTCGTTTTTTTACTATAACGCTTCAAAACCCCGGAGGGATTTATGAATAACCCTGTATTGAAACATAAAGAAATTAATCTAACTTTTACTGAACTTCATATTTCTTTTTAAATTTATTTTTATTTTTTATAAATCTGTGCATTGTAATTTAATCATTAGTATCTCACTAATGATCAAGATTCATAATTTTCAAGCTAATTAATTTTTTATTGCTAATAATTTATTGTTTCTTTATTCTCTAATGTAGTTTTTATTTTGGATTTTTTATTATTTTTTATCTGGGGTATTTAAATTTTTATACTTTTTTTAATGATGTGACTTAACAGAAAAATAGTGAAATGCAATATATCTATGTCTGCTGAATTGTTCATGTACAATTTATTTCAGTGTTTTATTTGTGAGGGTAGTATGAAATTTATTATTATTGGCAGGTTGCGAAGCTTCTAGATCAGAAAAGATCACAAAATGTTGGCATTTTAATATCAAGTCTTCGCATCGAAATAGCTGATGTTGAAAATGGTAAGCTCATGAATGTTCTTTTTATTAATTCATTTTACTTATTTTTAAATTCTCTTCTCACTCATATTGAAATTTATACAAATATTTTATTATTTCTAGCTGTCTATAACTTTGATACTTCAACTTTAGATTTAGATGCGCTTCAAGCTATTTATGAAATTGTAAGTTTTCTTTGCTATGTATAATGAACTTCTTTATTTTAATTTTGTGTGTAACTCTATTGTATTTAACTTTTTCCCCTTTATTTATTATTTTTTTATTTAGCGGCCAACATCTGAAGAACTGCAGCTAATCAAAAATCATCTGGATTTGAAAAATGACATCCCATTGGATAAACCTGAACAGTAAGATTACTTTAGGGGATGTCCGTAAATGATATCACAATTTTTTGCCATGTTTTTGACCGTCTCATAACATGTTTCACATTGCCTTGTCGCATGCAGTGGCATAGTTTTGATGTTAGAGGGGGTTTTATCTCCTTATATATATATACCCCAAACCCTCCCCAAAATACGCCCCTGGTCACATGTTACCCTAAATTCTATGAACAAATCCTTTAGTTCAGATGCATAACGTATGTTAATAGATCAGCATTTCCCAATTTTTTTTCGTTGCGTAACCCTAAATAGACAACCATCTATTGGCTGAAGCACAACTTTATAACTAAATAAAGTTTATTGATGTAATTGTGAATGTTAGAACCTATAAAAAATATGTTTAAAATATTTAGTTAGAGAAATAAAGATTTTTCATCAGTTTATCAATTATAATTTTAAATTAGTTTTCATTTTAAATTTTCAGACCTTGTTCTGTATCTAGTCTAGTTATGAATTAGTTTGGTGTACATACATGAATGAATAAATTATGAAAAATTATGATTTACTCAGAGATGAAAATTGCTGTTGGAAATGTTTAATAGGGAAACTTATTTCTTTATTAAAGAATTATTATTAATATATTTATGGTTGTAAATAAAGCATCAGAAATAATATATATAAAAGGGCAACACCAGTGTCCCATTTAAAAAAGCTTAAAAAAATTCCCTAAAAATATTTCATTTATGGCCAATAATGTCCTCACAATAATTTTCTACCCAGAAAGCTCCAAATACCTATTATAATTTTGATTATCCTGTATTTTTCTCAAGTAAACTTAATAAATCAATGTTTTTATTTGTCATGTACATTTTGAAATCCATCTTTGTAGGTTTTTATATGATTTATCTAAAATACCTGAATATGCAGAGAGAGTCTCCTGTATTATGTTCCAAGCTGCCTTTTCTGAAACAATATCTTCAATTGAAAACAGACTCAACAACCTGAAAATGACATGTGAAGTATGATTTTTACTTGATTCCTTTCATTTTTCTTTTCTCTTTATTATTGTTTTTTTTAAGTTTCATAAATTTTTATCAATGTTCAGATTAGAGCTATTGAATTGTATAACGATTTTTTATGTCTACTAGTATACATAATGTAATATAATAGTGGTATTATTGTATATCGATCACTGTTTTATTATAACAAATATTTATCAAAATATCAGACCGATTTTAAAAAACTATATTGTTTATTTTCCAGAATTATAAAAATGTATAATGTATAAAATTATTAAAATAAAATTTATTAATTGAATAAATATTCATTACTTAATTAGCCAATAGTAGTATAACATATAATACATCAATTAGTAATGTAACATATAATGCTCAGATTATGTTTACATTTCCTTTTTCCCATGTTCAGATTCGAGCTATTGCTTTGCATAACTATTATTTTATGTCTACTGGCATATATTGTGTAATATAATAGTTTTAGTATTGTATATTGAATATTGTTTTATAACTATAATAGATATTTATCAAAATATCAGATTTAAAAAACTAGGTATTTTCTAATATTATAAAAATGTATAATTGTATAATACTTGAAATTATATATATAATAAAAAACAATTTAAAATTATCTGAATAAAGAGGCATTACTCAATTAGTTAATAAAAATAATATTGCATTTAATTTTTACTTATGTTAATTATTATCTTAATATTCCATTTAAAAAGTAAACTATAATCTTTAATAAACTTCTTTGACCTTTACTGTAGTAGTCAAATTGTTAGAATTATTGAATTAAAATCAAATAAAAAATGTAACTTAGCATAAAGCATAAACATGTTTAACAATAACTATGTAAAAAAAGAAATCCGTGTTATAGTATTTTGGTAGAAATTAGAATTTATTAATTATTATTTGTTGGCTGAATGGGCTATTCAGCCAAACTACAATTTGTTGCATTCAGCAATAACTCAAGTTTATTGCTAAAGTAAATGTTGTCTTCATTTAAAAATGGAAAGCCTTTCTTCACTTTTATTTCACATTAATTAAAACTTGTACAATGAAATCTCATTAGTAAAAAATCATACAATAATAATCATGAAATATAACTCTTCATTTAACAAACATATTGTTTAATGTTGATATAAAATTAGACACATTAGATATTGTGATACTAATTTTTTTAACTAATTAATGTTTCAGTTTTTGATGACAGATGCGGACATACAAAAAGTGTTTGGAATAATTCTCACTTTAGGAAATTACATGAATGGAGGTAATTATTCTATTTCTATAATTTTATTCTAATCTAATACTATTCTAATAATTGTCTTATTTTCAGCAAGTATGTGATAAAATCTGTAGTATTTTATTTATTAACTCACGTGTATTTTGTAAAACCTCAATAGGGACAGTAATTTTCATTTTTTTTAAACATTTCTTTGTATTTAAAAATTAAATTCTCATGTTTCTCTCTCAGGCATGACCACTCTCTGTTCCACAGTAAAATGGTCATTCATGAAGGTTGGTTGTTCTTAGAGGTTACCTCCATCGACTTCAAAATGTTATTGAGGGTACAGGATTTTTTGCGAACAATTTTAATTTTAGTCGTTGTTTCTTTCTTGGGGCAGAAATGCCACTTGTGTTGGCGTCGCGAAAACCAAATCGAGAAATAACACTTAGCCTCAATGAAAACTACCCCTATTTTTGTATGCAAACAAATGTACCAATTATGAATGATAGAACTATTTTAAATGAATAAACAATTATGTTTTTTTATTTAAGTTTGTATTTAATTTTACATCATAAAAATTAGTTAACTTCAAAATATGAGAAGAGGTTTGTTTTAACTTTTTTTCTAATTCAACTTTCAACTCTAAAAATAAATCATTGATAGCATTGTCTTTAGTGCACTATTACTGCAACATAAGGTTGTCAATTTCTTCCAGACATCATCAAATAGAGCTCTCTAAATAAAAACCACTCTCAAATATTTTGAATTCATATAAAACTACTATTTTTTTCTTAATATTTTTTGTTTTCATATTTTTTCATGTTTCATTATTTGACCTTTCCCGCATTTTGTGCAGAGATTTGCCTGCTCACTGGAAAAGGTTTTGGTGGACTCTCCTAAAAGGTTTCTTCAATACAAAGTCTATGAAAAAAATTCTGTGTCTCCCAAAAGTGGTCGTAAATAGAGGTGGTCTTTTCTGGAAGTTTCACTTTATCAGCTTGCGTCACCGCTGGTAGAAAACGGACACAAAAAATCTGGCTCCATATCTTTTCATTGATTGAGTTTTATTTATCCACTCAGTAACTTGTATAAAAACTAGAGATTAGTTCAGGCTTGCTTTTGGATGTATGAGCCCGGCCCAAGCATAAAGAATTTTAATCTAAACTCAAAATATATAAGCTTACTTAGAGCCTGAGCTATATATTAGAGGAAAGCCAAATTTTGCAGTCTTGCCATTGGCTTCTTATGCCTAATTAAGGAAATTAGTAATTAATAGCTTTTTTTATCACAATTAATAAATAAATTTTGCATTTTTTTATGCTTAATAACTCTAACAATCATTTGTTTTAAGATAGTAAAAAAATTTATAAAAATTTTATCATTGAATTGGAGCCAACAAAACCTTAACTTTTTTTCTGTACCTGAGCTTGCATTGGGCTCAGGTTGAGCTTGTCTCATCTCTAGTAACAAGTGGTGTATGCATACTCACATCAAAGAAAAGGAATGGGGTTATGCTCCATAAACTTAACATCACTTGTTTGCAGGGTGTGGTAAAAACCCAGACAGAGCTATTGCATCTTAGAATAGAAAATAACTAAATTTGCTTCAATTTGTGTGTTTATTTCTTTTTAATGACCATTTAAATTATAAAATATATCTCTTTCTCTATATATTGTTTTTTGTATTTTTTTTTTTTTTTTTTTTTTTTTTNCTTTTCTTTTTCTTTCTTTTTTTTTTTTTTTTTTTTTTTTTTTTTTTTTGGCTTTGCTTTTCGGCGATCTGCTGTTTTAGAGCTGTTTAAGGAAGTATAATGTAAAATCTTTCATTTGACTGTGCACAAGTGTTTGTACTCTGTAAATAAATCGCTTCACAGTAATAGGATAGATTTAAATATCGAAGACTTGCAGCCCATTTCTGAACATTTTAATCGAAACCAATAAATCTATTCATTTACTACAACTATTAAAGTCTACTTTTAGTATTATTTATTATATTTTATTAATTTATTTATTTTAATGTTATATTAAAAATTTGTTTGCCTGGATTTATTATTTCACTCTCTGTAGATGAAAAAATGATTTTTATTTAGAGTTGATCTGCTGTTGCATTTCTTATAAGTACTGTGTTATTTATTAAGATATTTCTTGAGAGTTTGTTTATATCATTTATATTGATGGGAATTGCTAGCTCATTTTAAGATGGCGCTAAATTATTAGAGGCTGTTTCGCTGAAAGCAACATAGCCGTGGACTGATGCTTAGCTGGAAATTCACAAGCGTTGAATTTTGGGATAATACTCTCTGAGTATGTTACTTCTCCATAGAGGTGTTTTTCTGACACAGAATTTCATACTGAGCATTTCCTTATATTAGTTATGTATTTGGAGAACTGGACTATTTTTTTTTAATATCATTTGCTTATATTGTATACCCACTGATCAGTGGAGTAAATAACACCCCCACAACCCTCGTGGCAGGGGGGGCACACATAGTTTGAGGGCGCATGATCCAGACCGGTACAACTAGCTATTGAACGCTGCTGTGTGCAGATAAAAGTAGGGCACATTATTAAGTGATCCTCATGGACAGTATATATTTAACGAAAAAAATCCTTGTGGTATTTTATAATCATTTTTGATGAACAAAGCATTGTCAGCCTCTTTTTAGATCTATGAATTTCAAGTATTTAAAACATTAACATTTATTTTACAACAATTACATTTTATTTATTAACATTTTATTTACACTATTTTCTCTTTCAGGTAATCGGAACAGAGGGCAGGCAGATGGTTTTGGCCTGGAAATATTACCCAAATTGAAAGATGTGAAAAGCAAAGTAATATGTCGTCCTGTTTACATTCATTAATTAAAATATTATATGTGGTTCTTGTTTGGGATGTAAATGGATATCCGGCCAGCATATCAGTTACTGCGAAAGCTGTAAATTACAATTAATCAGTAGGGCTAGTATTGAATTTAATACTGAGGAATCATATAAATATCACACAAAAAATTACAATATTAACCTATACATAAAAAATTGTTAGAACAGGGTGCGTAGCGTTTGTAAAAAGTACTTAAAGGTGCTTTTTGGGAGATTTCGTTTTTAAAAGCTTTTAAAGGTGCTTTTTTCAGCTGGCGTTTTTAAAAAGTGCTTTTTTTCACGAATAATTTTTTTTCTTCCTTCAGTGATATTTGGCGGATCCCCTGCATTTCACGAAAAATGGGGTGTTTGCTACGTAATCATTCACATGGACTTCATGTAGTATCCACGTTATGACTTGCGCATGCGAGCACACTCGTAACTGAAACCCGAGTGCTCCAATTCGGATAGAGTCAGATCCTTATTAAATGTTTCTCTTTTTAATTTATTTTAATTTTATTCTTGTTTATTTTATTTTACTTCTAACACTTTTTTGATGTAGGGGGGTAAGGGTACCTTTGTTCTAAGTTCAGAGTCAAGTTGAATTCACTCGGTGATGTGGGAAAGTACTGATTGTTTCGATTTACGTCCGTTTCTTTTTGAGTTTTTTTTAATGCTAAAACTGTTCATAAAAAAGTTTTTGTTTTTCAATAATATCATTGATTCAATATGAACTTTTTGAGTGCTTGAAAATTTTTGTGAAGTGCTTGAAAAGTTTTTAAAAAGCGCTTATTTTTGATTCAAAGATTTGGCTACGCACCCTGTAGAAGATTTGGTTTATTTTTAATATATTTCAAAACAATTTTTTGATGAACATTAATTATAGACAAAATAAATACTTTTGTCATTATGGTGCAAAAACAGGAAATGTGCAGCATTCTTTTGCTAAATCAAGTTGCTTTTCATTTTATAAATTAACTGTTTCTCAGAATAGTTTTGCACAGTTTGTGGGTTGGTGAAAAAGATTTTTTTTCTTTTTTTGGTTGATTTTGGGTGAAAAGAAAATTTCTCTTGATTTCCATCCAATTATATAATGATGTATTTCTATTACTAATTTTAAAAAAATAATTATTTAACTTGTGAAGACGAACTGATTCAACACACATTAATTATTATTGTATACATTATTATTATTCCACATAATTATTATTATACCAATTGTAATACTTACTCTTTCAAATGTTAAAAAAAATATGAAAATAATTACAGTTTGAATACAATTTATAATTCAAAGTACTGGGAACAAAAATGTAAAAAAAAACTTACTAATTGGAAATTTAAAAAACAAAATCAAAAATGAAATTCTACCTAATAGCTGATTATTCTTATTCTGTAAAACGAGAGAGCTAAAATCTAATCTTAATTCTTGTACCCAGTATTTGGTAGAATTAACAAGTTTTCATGTTTGTATTAATTAATAAAATTTGTTATTGTATCTAATTTAGTATATTATTTGCTTGTTTAGGATAGTTCACTGACCTTATTGCATTATATAGTGAGAAATTATGTAAAGCTGTATGAAGAAGTAAGATATTTTCTTAGTTATTTAAAGTTAATTTTTTCTCACCTTATTCAAGCTAAGAAAATGCTTATTTTTGATTTTCTAATTAAGAAACACTGTTCTGCTCTCTGCTGAGACATAGTTCAAATTTTGTTTTTATATTTAATTGATACTGAACTAGATATTTATCATTGTTTATTTTATAAACCAATAATATTTTTTTAAGTGTAATATCTTAAAAACTGTTTATTTTTCAATTTAAAAGCATATTTAAGGCCATTATACTTTATCTTGAAAACTATGATCGAAATTGCTTTTGATATTTTTGTAGTAAGTGTCTCTTAAAATTTACTTATTACTATTAGTATTTGAGTATAATATGATAAAAGCACATTTCAACTATTCTCACTAAACAGCTGATTTCATTCACAAAATCTGGTTCCGTTCCCAGAAATAGGTTTTTACTGAAAATAACACCTTGGAAAAGATGTGGTCTAGGTTATCGAATAGCCAATTAGAGTGTGACTAAATGAAACAAAAAACGGAAGTAAATCTATGAATGTACATTCATATCGTGAATTGGCTTATCAGTGAATGAACGAATCTATTTGAAAATAAATTATTAGAAAATAAATTATTAGAAAAAGGTTTATAATTTGTGATCTGACATTAGGTGACATAAATTTTAATTGATTTTCTTGCTGATTTATTCTTTGATTGTTTTATTAATTTATTCTTTGGTTTTTATTGACCCGGCACACATGTCACCCACGACTAACCCCAATGACCCAGCACCCATGTTAAGGCTACTGCTCAAATTTTAGCTATTTTCATTCTTAAAGTAAAGTACTTCCACCTTTTTCTCTTAATTTTAAATCTTCTTGTTTTGCTTCCTGTAAAGCTCTGAATTTGATACAGTTTTCTGCAAAAATATTTTTGAGAAGTTTCTTAAATATCTGTTTTGGCGTCTTAATTTTCTGATTTTGTTTTTTTACCGTTTCCACATTTCATTTCCATTTCAATGTATACTTTTTTTCTGTAGGTTTAAATATAATTTCAAAATTAACTTTTCGCTGAACTTTACTAAATGTTTTAAATCAATTTAATGTGTATTTGATAAATGAGAAAAATTAAGCGATACTTGTAAAATTAGCAAAATGTGAAGTTCTTAAAAAATTGTGTATTTTGTCACCAATGCTTAGTTGAAAAAAATTAGAAAGTAAAATTTTATCAATTAAATTAAACATTTCAGCCTTAATGAAATTATATGTCATTTCATTAAGTTTTAAATGGTCTTAAGGTTCATTAAGGTTTGTTTACTGGTTTATATTATCACCCGAAATAATTGATATTTTGAAAATTAATAATATTTATATATTTTCCAGGATTCATCTTTAGACAAAGCTAAATTGCCAGTTCCTGAACCTGGTGATGCAGAAAGAGCGAGCTTAGTAAACTTTGATGATATTGCTAAAGACCTCAACAAACTTCTAAGTCAAATAAAAAGCAAGTGTTTACTTACTTGTCGAATAACATTTGAACTGTCTAGTAATCTGCAATATACAAATAACTTGATACATAACCGACTTTAAATGATCAAAATTGTGAGCATTATTGGTGTAATCATCGACTTCCATTCATTAACCGCAGAAAACAAACTTATTAAAATAATTTCATGCATTAATTGGGCAAGAGGAGTGGGCTCTTAATGGTTTCAATTTTCAAAATGTAAACATTTACTTGTCTGTGTACTTTTTAAACAATCCAGTTTATAATTTACTTGTGACATCATGACTCTTTATTTGGTAATAATTGTTCAAATTCTTCAATATTTTCAATAGTTCTGTATAAATAGAATATGCACTATAATATTCACTTCTTCATTTTCTAAAACTAAAAATCTCTTTCCACTTCTGTGTCCCACATAAGATAATAAGACTCAGTTCCCAGTAATTTATCTAAGTCGAGTATGACTGACAGTAGTCAGTGATTGGAAGGGTGACCGCATTGATCTGGTTGCCATAACTTCGCACATATATCATCAAGCTACCATAGCTTGAGAACCATCTTCTCTGCCGAGGGCCAAAATTGTTGTGGCATGTATTCTGATTATCGTTAGGGATGTATACTAGACTGCCATCAATTGACCATTGTGCAACTTTAATGTGATGTAAATAAAGTACTATTTCTATTTCCTCCACATAGGATTCAATTGGATTGTGTAAATAGCATCAATTCGATTATTGATTTTGGGACATATATTTCATATGAAGTTATTTCCATTGAAATTAGTTGTAATAAAAAATACTATTAGAACAGATTCAATTGGGGGGAGAGCAGCTGTGTTGATACGAATTGACAAAGATTCCATTTTTCTTTAAAAAAAATTCGTGAAGGACTTTTATCTAAGAATTTTCATATCTAATGAGCTTTTTAAATTATATTATTTTTTGACATAGATTGTAATTAAATTTACTTTTTTCATTAATGGAGATTTACTTAAATAATAAACACATTATCGCTAACTTGCATACTCTTTTAATTGTTAAGGAAGTATTTGATTTAACTATTTTCAATAATTATTTTTCTTCCAATAAAATTTCAAAGATTAATTCTAAAAATCAAGAGAAAAAAATTACTCCTAAACAAAAACAAAAAAAGAATTAGTTCAACATAACTTATTTTTGAAAACATTTCACCATTAGATCTGGCAGACTAAAATTGCTAAACTCTTTAAGTAAATATTATGGAATTGATAATTATAATATTATCTTATATGATCCCCCTATCTATTTTTTAAGTTTGAATTCAGTTTTTTTTTAGTAATAAAAGTTACTAAAAAGGTTTAGCTTACTTCTAATCTTGTGCCTTGTTAGTTAAAATTTTAAAAAGGAACCAGTTAGAAACATCAAGTGTTGTGTGAAAAATTTTTAAAACTGAAACTTTAATTTGTAAATTATTTGTATGAATAATAAATGTAACTAAATTTTTACTTTAAATGCCTCTGATAGGTTGTGAGGCCAAAGTTCAGAAAGTATTAAATTCATCAGATGAAGAACATCAACAACCTTTTAAAGAAAAAATGGATGAATTTCTCACAAAAGGTGGGTAATGAAATTATTTGGTGATCCTTTAACATTATGTGGTTTTTATTTGCATTTAAGATTCATATTCAACTGATAACTAGCATTAATAACATACATTTTTGTGCTTTATTCAAAGACAGTGGCTATTGCAACGGATCTGTGGCAAAATAGCTCTGCTGTTATTCTGCCAACTTTTGATAACAGTGCCATTTTACAGGAACTAATCTGAGCACTTAACCTTTAAAGGCATTAGTGTAGGGTAAACCGGACAAACTTATACAGAGCAGTGGCACTTAATCTTAATAAAACAGCTCAAGGTACACCAGGCTAGTGTAGATTGAGCAATGGGGATTCGATCGTTCGGATTGTTGAAAATAATAAACAGTAACTATTAAAATACCGTTTTTCATACACTAATATTTCATTTTATAACCGGAGAGTTGAAGAACCAAACGAATTCTTAGTTTACAATTATTAATGCTTAACTGCCTAACCTTGTATTTTTGAACCTAAAGTAGAAGATAAGGGAGGAAAACCTCCAATGGTTAGCCAAACGACATGATCTATCTGCCATGCCCCCAGGGCCGGATTTACGTATAAGCTAAATAAGCTGTAGCTTGGGGCCCCGAGATGGCAAGGGCCCCCAGATCCAACTTTTTAAAGTTGGTTCTGGCTTTCTTTTTTTAAAGTTTTATTCGGAGCTGGAGCCCTCTGAAGCCTAAAATACATTTTTTTTTCTTTATTACATTGGCGAACGCTTTTCAAAATCTAATAGAAGTGTTTACAAGTATAAAATAATTGTTACTTTTTTAACCAAAAGAGCAATAAAAAGGCCTTTTGACTGATGAAAATATCCTGTAGCTTTCGTAGCTACCAGTGATGGGAGTAGTCCATGGATCCTAAAAAGCGGTACTCCATGGAGTAGTCAAATAGCCGCCTCAATTTACACTGTGGGAAATGTTTTCAGCTTCTTTAAATTGCTGTGGGCTCTTTTGTCCACAGAAACACCCTTTTGTCTGATTTCTGGGCAAAAAATTTCTAGGGCTGTGGGAGAATCTTGTTTAGGGTCACTCTGTTTCGAGATTTCCGTTGTGTCTCATTGTCGTTAAAGAGCTTCTCGTTTAATTTTAACTTTTCTTTTTTGCAAAATATATGTTTTCCAATTTATTACAAAAGCTTTTTTTCCTTTTAATTATCCTAAATGTTTTAACTAGCTTAATTGTTTAATTTACTTAATTATTGTAATTGATTTTAATTTGTTATTTTCCAAATTAATCGTACATGAATCCGTGAACTCCTTTCTTTATTTATTTAAATGGTGGGCCACCATTCAATTCCCTCTTTGACAGGCCCATCTGCCAAAATTCTTGATTTGGTTTATTTTGGATGAAATTGAGATAACAGATGTGGTTTTACTTTAATTTTACTTACTGCTAATAGACAGAAGCAACATGTGATATTGCTTGATAGAGCATTGAAATCAAGTGATCATCAGCTAAACAAATGTTTAAATATATATGTAAAAAATATTGTTCAAACCTCCTGTCTGACCAAATTTTCCATGTATCCCCGAAATATGAATTATGTTTAATTTGTAAAATATGATATTTCGTACACAAAATTCATTTATTTAGTTAGCTTATGATTTTATTGTTTATTGATCATACTTGTTTCTATTTTTAACTCCCTGATTTTTGTTGTTATTATGTGTTTAAAGTTAATAAGGCATCTAAATTTTTTAATTTATAAGGATTTCAAATTTTTAAAGCAAAGTCGAAATAACTTCTTAAAATTGCAAATTGAAACTATTTATAAAATTTTGGCAGATTTGTTTTTATTTTAAATCTGTGCATTTAATTTAATAAAATAAAAACAAATAAAAAATAAGTTTAAAAAATATAAATAAATGACTAGATAAAATATAAAACTGTGTTGTCAATGAAAAGGAACATATCTTTTAAACAATTTGAGTATTAATAAATTATTTAAAAATAAACAATTTTAAAAGGTAGAAAAGTTTTTTGATTTGTTTAAAAGGCAAATTTTGTCCCATCATTTGATCAAGAGACTATTTAATATCTGTTTCTAAGAAGCAGTAGGTCGCGTGTGGGTGTGTGGATGATGTAAGTAAAAGAGGCATACAAAAAAAGCCAATTTAACTTCAGTTAATGCCCTCGATATTATATTTTTAAACTCCTCGCAAAAATGTAGTAAAAAAGTTATACAAATTAATTGTCGCAAACAAATTAATATTAAGTAAGAACGAATCAAAAATGATATCGAAATATGCTGAATCACTAATGAGACAGGCGGGATGAAAGACATCGAAACCAATTTGATTAAATAGTAAAACTAGAAAGTGTTTCAAAAATCCGGACATGTATCAGGCTTCAATATTTTTTTTACTGCCACAAAATTTATCAGGGACAATTCGTTAGATTTCAATACGGGTTTTTCTTTAATTAAATATTAACTAATATTTGTCTTTCCAAGCTTTTCATTCTGTAATAACAAATGTCAAGCATTTAAAGCATCCAGTTCAAGAATGTCAAGTATCCAAATAACTTCATTTATTAAATTTAAAAAAATAATAATAATAATAAATAAATATCCGCAAGGCAGGTGTGTATATTTGGGGCTGATGATTATGAAATCTAACACAAAACTGTGAGATGGCGGGTTCCATTCCAGCTGATGACAGTTTTTAATTATTATTTCTTAATACTGAAAAATGTATTTCTTATTTTTTTTTAAAGTATGCATGTTAAAAACTAATAGTTTAACAAGTATTTAAAAAACTAGAAAGCTACACCCCCTGTTCATTTTGCACACAAACCCTCATGGTTGTTTCTGATTAATCATTGCAGATTAAGAGGAAAAACGGTTTATTTCCGTCTTTTTATTCTACAAAAATTACGATTGAATTTCTATTTTCATTTTGAAAATGACTAAAATTTGGCAAATCAATAAAATTGGTACCTCCTGCAGAGTTATTACCCAGTGAAGATGGACTCAAGGGCACTGAGTTCGAATCCCAGTGTTGACTGGTCAATACGAATTCTACACCCGGCTTACACCAGCCACTGTGCCGAAGTAAAATATCCTCAGTGGTAGACGGATCATAGGTCCCCTTGTTGTCAGACTGACAGTGGAAAGCTTTTGTGGTTTTCCTCATCATGTAACTTAAATGCTGGTCAGTTCCATCAAAACGTCCCCCTCCAAGACGAAAATTTCTTCCAATACTTGATCCTGGAGTTCCCTTGTGTTCTGAATTGAGTTTAAAATTAGAAGTCTAATAAGTTGAACATTAGTAGTCGTAAACTCGAAATTGGGTTGGCTGTTCAATGACTATTATAAAATAAACTAATAATTTGGCCGGGGTAGCCTGGTTGGCAAGGCGTTGAACTCGTGTTTGTGAGAATGGGATTTCAAATCCAGCCGGCCGAAGAATACCCATGTATAAAATGGTGACTGGTGCATGTTAAATCTGCCATGGTCACAAAGTCTTCTAAGTTCTCACAACAAATCAATACCTCTGGGTACTGATCCAATTCTCTTGTCTTCTGGATTGAGTTCAAAATTATAAGGTGATTATTCAATATTATACGGAGTTAAACATTTGTAGTCGTAAACTCAAATTAAGTCGGTTGTTCAACGGCGGTTATGAAAAAAAAATAGAACTAATAATCAAATTATATTTTCTTATGTTCTTTTTAACTCCTTGCTTATTTTTGACACACCTTCATAATTTCATGTTTCTAAGTCAGAGCAGCAAAGCAAAATGTAACGCTTAAAAAAGAAACAATTTAGAAAGAGAAAAAAAAAATCATTTAAAATTCTAAATAACATAGATTCAGAATTTCAAGGAAAAAAAAACTCTGTTAAACGTATAATGGTTCTTCTAACATACCAAATCTTTACTCTGTGCTTATGATGTTCTTAAAATGAGTTTCTGTTTTTTTCCTCGTTCAGAAAATATGTGTAATAATAGAAAGGCTCTACATTATAGTCCCATCACAACCAATATATTTGACAATCAAGCAATATTATCAAATTTTTAATAATATAATGTTAATATTCAGCAATAAAAAATACGACAGTTTACTTTAGGTGTATAGAAATAGAATTGAACTTAAAAGGGCCCCATCATTTTCAGTAGCTTAGGGCCCCGCCAAGCTTAAATCCGGCCCTGCATGCCCCTGAAAGAGTGGCCAACAAATCTGCCCTTCAGATACCTGTATGACGAAAGGTTATTCCCCAGGTGGGCATTGAAAAAAAATATTTTATTAATTTAATATTTTAGTGATTTGCATTGTTTAGGTAAAGCAATTCGTAAAAAGTGACTGATAGTATGGTGAGAAGCTTGCACCATAATAATGCATCGCCATTATAATTTGAGAGTTAACAAATACACGTCCACAAGCTCTGCATTCTTTTATATTACTTTCCATACTTTATCTTATCTCTTTTACAGCTTATGCTGAACATAAAGAACAGGAAGAAAATCTTGAAGAATGTAAAAATAAGTATGTATAACAATTTTCTTTAAAGCATGTTTTAAAATTTTATTTATGTATGATTTTATTACTTTTGTTGTCTTAAGTAAAAGAATGTGAAATGAGTGAAAAATAAATTTTGAAATATTCATTTTAGTCAAATAATTAATTCTATTCTATTATTTTATATGTAGATTCAATGAGACAATGCTTTTCTTCAGCTGGAAAGCGAAATCTGGCAACCCTTCCGAATGGCCTCAAGAATTCTTCAGTTACTGGAAATCTTTTTGTAATGACTTCAAAGACATTTGGAAAAAAGAAATGCACAGAAAAGCCAAAGCAGAGTATGTTTATAGTTTACACAATTTCAATTACTAGTGTTTTTTTTTATTCTAGCCTTTTTCTTTCTTGTTGCCAGATTTTGTTTATGGTATTGTGTGGTTTTGCTATTCTGAGCCTGTTGTGTCATTTAAAATTGACTCAAAGTATCCAAATGATTAATTTTTCTTGATGCCTTTCAATTGATATTTTTTCCTAAATTAAAAAAAAATATAAAACAATTTTATTTGCTTTATATGTTGATTTTCTGAATTTTTATATTTATTTTTTATTTGTTTGTCAGTATCTATAGCAGTGTCAATAAATATGTATGTATATATATAGCTAATCAAAATTTGTGCATAAAGCCCCCAACAATTATTTAGAGATTAAAGAATTAAATTTTTTGAACATTACAAATATGGGCAAAAGTGTATGGAAGTATTCCAGCTAACAATTATGTTCCCATTTATCAACATGAAAGTAAAAGTTTTTGTCAAAAGAATGCATTTGGCTTGATGCTCAAAGCTCAAAATTAATATTAAATTTAATTTTTCTGTGTTGTTAAAAAAGTGATTTGTATTTAACTTTATTGTGTATCTAATAAAATATCCTGGGATCAGACATTTAAATTTTAGGATTTTTGTAATCATTTCTAGATTTGAATATATTATAGTGCAAATTTAGCTGAGTTATTGTGTGGTACAGCTCAATCCAAACCAGGATATCTTGTTATGTTTCAACTTAAACTATTTATGTTATAAAAAGGTTCAACATAGCATTTTAGGAAATGAAATTGATAGAGTTCATATTGTAATTATCTAAAAATGTCCTTTAAAATATCGGAAAGTGTCCTTAAGAATAGCAAAAAATGACCTGAAGAATTGAAAAATGTTCCTTTAAATTTATTATGTGGTATGGTTCAACAAAACGTAGGATATCCTGAGCCATATTTTAACTTCAGCTAAGTTATGTTATAAAAGGGTTCAACTTAGCATTTTAGAAAATTAAATTGATAGAAGTCATATTTTAATAATTTAAAAATGCCTTTGAAAATGCACTTAGAAAAAGAAAAAAATGCCCTTATAAACACAAAAAATGTTCTTAAAATTGGAGATATTTCCTTATAATTAATTAAACAAAACATTCAATCTGAAGCATTTTTTCATTCCTAAATTTACATGCAATCGTATCGATATGTGTATGTTGAGCAATCAATATACTTTTTCTTATAAAATTTGAAATAAATGTTTATATTAAAAAAACTATCATATTGGAAGAACAAAGTTGCATCATTAATTTTTATGATGTTAATAAAATGCTTTGAAATAAATGCAAGTGGAGATAATTTATAAATTTAGAAAAAATTAAGTATTTCTGTGTATATTTATGTTTTTTTTTTTATGAAATTTTTTCTTTGTGATGTTATATTATCATAAAATATTTCACACTTTAAGAGTGAGCTAAGAATACAGTCTTGCGCAATATTCCCAATGAATGCAAAAATTATGAAATTCAACAACAACAAAAATAAACATGGGAAAATTTCTAAAAATGATGAAAATTTAAACAAAAAATATCTGAAAAATTCTTTATAAAGAGACAACCATTTCATTAAAGGTAGAAATTAAATGCAGGAAGATTTGGTTATCGAGAGACAAATGAATGTGTAGTCAAAATTCTAACTTTAATTGTTAAAATTGCCTATAATAATAAAGTGAAATTTTTAAATGGTGCAATTTCACTTGACACTTTCAAAGATTCTGATCACTAATTTAAAGTAATTTTTTTAGACTTGAAGCAGCAAGAAAGAAGCTTCAAGAAAAGCAAGAAGAAAGGAGATCAACAGTTGTGAAAGTGAAAGATAAACCTTTAGGATTGGTAAGCTTTCATTTTCAATTTTGATTTTTTTTATATACATTTTCACTTGGAAATTTTCATTTACATAAAACAAAATGCATAACTGATATTTGCGCAGCTTTGTAAAAAAAAAAGGTTATAATTTCAAATATATATATATATATATATAATATTACTCAAGGGGAGATCCTACTTTAGACTTGTTTATATTATAATTTGTTTATTGTATGTAATATTCATTCATTGCCAATTCTTTATACTTTGCAAATATCAATGGTTAAAGATACTATGATACATTTTTTTAGTATTTTGGAGTGGATATTTGGTCCAAGTACATTTGGTCACTAGCAACCTTAGAAATCCAATTTTTTAACAACAGATTGCAATACTCTGAGTGAGAATTACTTCAATAATTATAAAATATAGAAATGATTTTTTTTAAATTTGTTTTTAATACCATAAAGAACACATGATTAGAATTTGAGATTTTTTTTTTTGGAAAAACATGTTATTTGGCATTACTGTTAATTAGGAGAATTATCCCTTTTAACCCCCAATGATTTCAATGTATTAAAATCAATCCTTTTAGTTTTTCTATTTATTGCATTAAGAATAAATGTGTCAAATTTTAGCTTTCCAACTTCATGGGAAGTTTGAGAACTTTGCTTTCTATATATACAGATAACTCTGGGAAACAGTTTTTTTCCATGTTTTCTATTTAATGAGATTTTTTAACAGATCTTATCGTATCACTGATTTCAAATCTGCAATCAATTCCTCTCTCTCTCCGAGGTAGAGTTTTTTTTTTTTAATTGCCTAGTCTGCTTTTTGTCTAAATATACAAGTTTAAAAAAAATATATATAATAAGAGGTCGCATGAATGTTGCGACAAACTTCTAGGAGAGTTAGGGCACATAATCGGGAGTGAAATTGCATAGGCACCCATCCCTGGAAGTGTTTCCATATGTTGTTCTGAGTACTTTCATATTATGAACCGTTTCTTCATTATCTTCAGAACAGGTCATAATGGAGAAGCGCCCTAGCCATACAACAACATTTTCAAGCATGGGTTCCTATGCAGTTTAAATCCTGATGATGCGTGCTAACTCCCCTAGAAGTTTGTCACAACATTTAGGCAACATACAATGTCTCTAAATTTATACATTTTGACAAAAAATAGACTAAAAATGTCATTTTAAAAGTAAAAGAAAAATCTGTTGCTTTGGGGTACTAATTTCAGATTTAATGAAGTATTTGTATACAAGCTGAAGTATTTGCATGCATGCTATAAAAAAAAATTTCCCTAGTGTAATTCTTATTTGCTCAAAATTATTTAAATACTTTCAGCTCGTAATTCAGATCTTATATTACAAAATCAGCCTAATTTGAAAACTGGACATACACGAAAAGAGAATATTAAAATTCCATACTAGTTGTATACTATTGTAATGATTATAAAGTGTTTTATTCTCTTACAGAAAGCAAAGTTAGCAAAGAAGGGGATGCTCTTAAAAGACTTAACCACCGATACGTAGCAGCTTTTAAAATCTTGTAGATATTCCTATCATTCAAGTGCCTATGTATGTTGTCAATATTTTCAACTAGCAACTCGCAGTGTCTTTATTTCAATGGCAGAAATTACTATTTATGTATAATAAGCATAATTTATTTTTTCCTAAATACCAGCTCAATAAAAATAACTTTATTTTGGTAATGAGTTTTATCATTACACACCATTTTCTTATGATTGTTAAAAATATAAAATGTAAATTTGGTTTGGCGACAGTATGTGATTTTTCATAAAGTATTAGAAAACATAATATTTTTTAACATTCAGTTGTTTAAGTTTCTTATTGTAGTTTTGAGATGTATTTCTACTTTAAATTCATGTTTTGAAATATACTTTATTATTACAGAAATATATGACAATAAAATTGTAATTCGTTTGGTGAAAAAAAAAATTATTTTAACAAGTTCGCACTAAAAGAAGTTAGTAAACACATTTTGTATTTATTATTAAGTTTAACACAATTATTATTTTTTTGTTTAAATTCTATGATTCAAACTTTTTTTCTTGCAAGCTAAATATTCACAGTATTGATCTAACTAAACAACAGTGTGGATTTGCAACCCAAATATCTATATTGCATAAAATTGGAAAAATTTTCAGAAAATAATTTTAAGATTCTTTATACTAATAGCATTATTAAAATAAATATACATTTCCAGCTTTTATAATGCATTTAAAATAATATTCAAAATATTTACTTATTGTTTTGTTTTCTATAAAAATATATATATAATGTTGTAAAATAATTTTTGAAGAAGTGAAAAATAAGTTTAGAACCTTTAGTTTAGATTATTTTGTTTACATTAAAAAAATGTCCTGGATTTAAAAACTTAAGGAACTAATTATTTATTATATGTAAAAAGTTTTAGATTTTACGTAAATCTTGCACATTTAATTAATTAGTTCTTAAAGAAGGAATTCAATGAAATTACTGAATATTTTTTTAGCCAGTTAAAGTATTAACCCTCTGACATTATTACATTTTGTAAACTGCCTTTTATACTATAATTCTTTTCAGCGAAACAAATCAGTTTCTTTTATTTTATAATATGAAGATACCATATCCAAGAGAAAATTAGTCTCATATATTTTTTTTTAATTTATACACCAGATTTCTTTAATTTTGTTTTGTTCCAATAATTTTTGATTTATATAAAGTTTTAACATTTCTTTAGCTATATAAATCTCTTACATTTTGTTAAAAAAGTAAATTTGTGTTTAAATTGAGACTAATTTAGAAATTTATTTTGAAACTGCCAATCTACTTTTTGTCCATAATTTAGATTTCTTTCTAATAAATTGTACTAAAAACTACAGCTGTTAAATAATGCAAAAATCAAAGTAAATGCAATGGGTATATCCAGTATGGTCTTGAAAATTTATTTTATTTTTCCCCTTAATCAGAATTTTGCAAAACTTTTCCTTTCTCAAACAGTCAAAAGAGTTTCCTCTAATATACTTTTAAGGATGATACTTTCACAAATGACTTACTCAGCAATAAAATAATTTTTTGTTTTTAAAGTGTGTGATGCATTTATTTACATTAAAATGTATCTTTAAAACTTATTAATAAATTATAAATTAATTTGTCAAAAACATTATCATTTCTTAATTTTATTGTATATTTATTTAATATAATTAAATTAATTTTTTTGTTCATTGTAATTTAAGATATAATTCATGTTACTGTTAGTAAATAATGTAAACAATTTATTAAACATTCCAATTTACTCAGAGGCGGATTATACCTTTCGTAGGCCCTAGGCATAGCCGTTTTTGGTGCCCTCCTTCACCCACTCCTCCCCTCTTTTCAAAATATATGCTAAAATTTTCTTGCATATTTTTTTTTACATTTTTATTAATATGGATTTTAATTTACAAATTTGTTTATTGAACTTTATCTGCAATACCGACATACTGCCGATATTGCAGTTGATATCGATAATACCATTATGATTAATTCAATCGATAACTATGTAAACACTTCACGTCAACAATACAACAACAAACCAGCAAAGAAAACAGTGAAATTGATAGTGAGATTAATTACAAGAAATATTTATACAGTAGAGAACCAATTATCTGGGATGCTCGGGACCATCGCTATCCCGGATGTCTGAATTTCCCAGTTTTCTGGATCGACCAAAAAGTGTCATTAATCGATGTTTTATCGAACCCGAATTACAAGGAAATTACACAAAAATTTGTCAGAATCTGAGATTAAACTAAAAGCGCAAAATTTGGTGAAAATTTACTCATCCGATTTAGAGAAAAACTTTGTAGATGAATTTTTACTATTTTCAAATTTATATGAACATAAATCTGCACAAGAAATGTTGAAGGCTCAAATTAAAGATAAACTTGTGAATACTTTTCCTAACGTTCACATTGCATTAAGAATATATTTGTCGATTCTTGGATCAAATGCAGAAGGAGAAAGATCTTTCTCCAGATTAAAATTGATAAAAAATTATTTGCGTTCAACAATGAATCAAGATCGTTTGGCATCGCTCGCACTTATGTCTATTGAATACGACATTTTGCGTAGTTTGGAATTCGACAGCATAATACAAGATTTCGTTGAATCCAAAAATCGCAAAAAAGTAATATATTAGATCATAAGATTCTGCAAAATAATTTATTACCGAAAAATATTATATTTTTATTTGTATCTTCATAATTTTGTGCAAAATACACTTGTTGTTTTTAAAGCTAAATTATTTTTGTCAACAAATTTTTTTCTCCCAAGTTTTTCGTAGGCCCCTGAATTTCGTAAGCCCTAGGCACGTGCCTAGTGTGCCTATAGGTTAATCCGGCCCTGAATTTACTATAAGAAAAGTTTTATTTTTAGTTGCAGCTAGTGCATTAAATAAACTATCAAGTATTGAAATATATTCCATTTACAGTATAATTTGTCGCATGTAATCTTTTTAATATGTTGATATTTGTGTAATGATACTTAATATTTTATTCATTGGTTTTTGTTATTTTCTGTGACTGTTTGATTTTGCAATTTTGTGATACATGTTTTTCAATGTTATTAACTTCATTATTTCGTTGAAATGTTTTATAGTTATCTTACTGATGTGATTACCATGTAACAAAAGATATTTTCATTTCTTAGCTTTATTTGTATGAATTTCTTTAATAATGTAAACAGTTTAATGTTGATGATCGTCGTTTGTTTTAATGTGCAATATCACAAATTATAACATTGTCCCAATTGTTGATAGTATAAATTCCATACTCAGATTTTACAATATTAAATATAAATATCTATTCATTTAATCTTGTCAATTATGTATCAATTCTTAAAAAATCATTGGTAATTTTAAAATGTGTATATTTTTGTTTAATTTTGTGTAAAATTTGTATTTGTACAAAATTAAATTAAAAGAATTGAGTCTTTTATTAGTATTTACAATAACTATTAACAATATTTTTCAGAAATAACTAGTTAAAATAAAATAATTTTTAATTTCTACAGCTCCTGCTACTTTAAAAACAGAATTTACTCTAACTACGTTATATGGTTAGGCAATAATGCTTTCAAATATGTGTGCATTAGGTAATTTTAAGGCTAATTAAGCTACCAATCTCTGTATAGTGCCTAATTTATATATGGCATTACTAGCTGTGTTTAAATGTTTTTCTTCTAAAGAAACTTGTATTACATTTTTAAAAATTTATTATTTGTGAAAAAAAAAGATATGAGTTGTTTCCTGATCCTTATTTATTTGTACAAATATTTTTTTTTTCTCAGACATTCCGATTGAAAATTTGTGTTAAAGAGGACAAAAGCATATCCTATCTGTGATATCTACAGTTTTTCATTTTCGTAAGATCTAAATTCGGTAATATTTATGATATTTTAAAGTATCGACCCTATATTTCCAAATATAAGCTGTATGTGTGTTTTCCCCAACAAAATTTAGCCAAAAAATAAATAATAATGTATAAGTAAATAAACTGAAGTGAAAAAGAGTTTCTTGAAAGCAACTAGAATGATTTTGTATAATGAAGATTAAAAAGTTTTTAAGTCAGATAGTATTCAAAGTTATAATGGCATCTCAATAACAAAGGGGAAGTTTGCAAATTGTTTTAAAGCTAGGATTTTGACATTAAAATATTTATAAATATTTTTTTTCTTCTTAAATTGGCTTAAAAATTCAAAGCCATGTTGTCTTTTATTTTTGTGCTATTGTTGCTACCAAATACTTCTATTAGCAAATTCTGGGGGATCCTAACCAATTTAACTTTTCAAAAATTACAATTGAAAAGTAAAGTATATTTTAATTATATGCAAAAAATAGTTTTTTTTTTATCCATTCAAGTGCTATGGTGAAATATAAAAAAATTTGTGCAATATTCAAAAATTCACATTTATATTTTTAAGTATTACACAACACAATTGTGATATAGCACAATATCACAATTTGTCAGTCTAAAAAAAAAGGTCTATACTGTGTTAAGAGGAAATTTTGACAAATTATTCTCTGTTTGTGGGCCATTTTGTCAGATTATCAGGGAAAATTATGCCAAATTATTTCTTGTTTTGTGAAAATTCTGCCAAATCATCCACTTAGAGAAACTTTTGCAAATTATCCACTGTTCTTTGATAGCTGTGATGGCAATGATAATTTTTTACCTCCAGTCTTTGGAAAGGGGTCTTTTAGCAGTAGATTTATTTGAAGAAAAAAAAATTACCTTAAAAACAAGGTAACACCTTGCAATTTTGAGCATTTCTAAAAAAGTACAAAATTATATTAAAATTGTAAATTAATCTGTAATATTGCCTCTTTATTTTAATGTTGAGATGTGCTGGGACAATTAGCATGTGTTTGAGCTTAGGCTTAGGGTCACTACCACTGGTTCTCAAAATCTAAGGGAATTCCATCGTAACTACATTTTCTCACATTACTATTGAAAAATTAAAAGCAAATAAACTCTTAGTGTACATTGAGAAATTTTGATCAAAACTTTCAGAAATTCTACTGTTTTACAAATTCTATGTGAACCATGACTTTGAAAAGTACTCAAAAGAAAAAATAATTGTTTCCTTATTGAGAAAACATTGCTTCTCATTTAGGTCTGGTGCTGAAATCCTATTAAATTAACTGACAAAGATGCTTTACTTTTTACCAAAATTTTAATTTATTACAGCAATAAAAGAAAATGAAATTCCTTAAATTCTTATAACCAGTGTGAAACAAGTGGCTTTTCAAAGTAACTGTACACACAAAGTCGATATTTTATTGTAGTTTTATTAGATTCAATAAATGATACATAAATATTTTGCTTAGCATTGCAAGTTCTGCTCTCAGATATTATGCTTCATCTATTGTTTTGTTTCTTACTTAACATATCACTTGTATCCATTTTAAATATAGATATGTTGTAGGCTAATTGAAAAATCCAGCTCTTTGCAATTATTCATGACTAATTTTATTTTATAACCAGTATATATAAAAACCCGACTTATTTTTCAGTTCATATTCAACTCCGAGGCTTTGTAATTTAAGAAACCAACTTAGACGACAGGAATTCCCGGATCAAGTATTTAGACAAATTAGTCTTTGTGGAGGAATTTTAGATAGAACTAACTTGCATTTACATTGCATGGAGAGGAAAACCACAAACCCCACTCAATCAGCATTGTGGTCAGTGTGAGCCGTAAGCAGAATTCGTATTGACCAGCCGTCTCTGGGATTCAAGTCTGTGTCATTTTATTGATAGGCGAGCTGAGTTTTTTCTACTTTCAATTAACGTGCCCAATATTTTGCAGATTCATTACAATCTGTTTATATACCTTTTAGGCAATATTTTATTAATTTCTTTTATAACTGTCCTTGAACAGCTGACCCAATTTTATGGGTTTAGGACTACTAATGTTCAACTCCGTAGCCTTGTAATTTTGAACCCAATCCAGAAGACAAGGAAACTCCTGGATCAAGTATTGGGAGAAATTTGCCTTTGTGGAGGACGTTTTGATGGAACTAACCCGCATTCGCGTTACATGGAGAGGAGACCACCAGATCCTCCCATGGTTAGCCTGATGGTTAGGATATTTCACGTCAGTACTGTGGTCGGTGCAAGCCGTATGCGGAATTCGTATCAACTGGGAATCGAACCTGGTTCGCCGCATTGGAAGGCGAACGCTCCATCCCCTGAGCCACCAGAAAAATTATATTTTATTATAGGCAATATGTTAATATGGGCCGGGATAGCCTCGTTGGTAGGGCATTAGGCCCATGTCGAAGAGATCGCTGGTTTGATCCCCGCCGGCTAAAGACTCCCTGCGTAGTAAATGGTGATTGATGCACATTAAACCTGTCGAGTCACAAAGCCCTCTGTGTTCCCCTAACAAATTAATACCTCTGGGGATACTGATCCAGGAGCTCTCTTGGCTTCTGGATTGGGATCAAAATTAGAAGGATACAGAGTTGAACACTGATAGTCGTAAACTCAGAAATGAGTTGGCTGTTCAACGACAGTTATAAAATAAAAATGAAATATCTTATTATATATTTAATATAATTAAGTGGCTATTTGAAAAGAGACGTAATATTCAATTAGCTTACGACAGATATATAGAAAACATTACACATGTAGTAATGAAAGATGCAATATTGCTGTGATTATAGATAGTTAAATTTGTGATACTTAATAATAGATCTGATGGAGATTGATTTGTGTTAGATTCAGTTTCGATAGTCTTATTCGGTGTAAGATGCATTTTTCAGAATCTTATTCAGTGTACCTTTATCTTAAAATTCATTATGTTGTGTATTTAAAAATGTTGTACTATGTAAAAAAAAGTCAGACTATTCTTTATTAATGCATTTTAATTGTTCTTTTGTTTACATTACAGCTCTTAAATTATATCTATCTATTTTGCTGAAAACTGATGGTTTAAAACTGAAATACTCCTTTGTGGGCCATCGAGCTTCGAAATGTTACCTTATAAGATACATAGTTGTTAAGGTAAATTTTTGTAATTAATTTGATGCATTTAATTGCTTATTATAGACTTGATTAAAATTCAAATGCTACTGTATTAAACAACGCTTTACAAGAGTAAAATGATTTTGAAAAAAAAAAATTTCTTTTATTTTATTAATTAAAAACTTTTTGTTTATGTAACCGTTACGTTGAAAGACACAAAGCTTCAAGCAGACAATTTATAATTTAGATAATTTTTCTTAAGCAAACAATATTATTCATATCATTTCATCAATTTTCTTAATAAAATACTTTTGCTTTAATATTTTGTGTTTGTCGATATTGAGTATTGTGCTCAAAAGGTACTTCATTTTTGCATTTTCCAGTATTTGATAATCCAATAAATAATGATCTCCTGAATAATTAAAGTTTTAAAAATATGTTATTTTAAAATTTCAAACCTAGAGAGCTGTTTTGTATTGAAATGTAAACATTTTCCCTTATATTACATCATTTATTTGTTGATTTTGTCATTTTGTGATATAAGTTCTTAAACATTCCATGGTAATAAAAGCTATTTTTCTGGCTGATTCAAGGGGACCACGGTTCATTTTATCAGATCTCGCTATATATCGTTGTTATTAGAAGTTTTTTTTTAACCCTTTGACACGCATCGGACTCCTGTTCTCTTTTGTACATTTTTTTTTCTGCTCTAATTGCAAACAAAAATAAATTTTGGTATTTTTTAATTTTAAAAAACAGTCTAATAGTTGCTAAAATAAATCTGTTAGATTACCTGAATTATATTTGTACTAAACTATGAATTCCGAATAAATGTAGTTTGGAGAGAAAAAATTTCACTCATATTCAAAAATTTATCAATAATTAATTTTGTCAATGAAAGAAATATCAACTGTTTCTCTTAGATCTGAATAACTGTAAATAAGTGCAAATTTAAAAAAATAATTGCTTCTAAGTGAGCCTTGTTTGGAAGATTTTACCTTGACCACAGAAAAAGACACTGTTTTATGCTCTATTTCATAACCATAAATTATCTAAGTGCAAAGTATAATATTTTTCTCTTATTTTGATCTAAATTAATACAAAGTAGTGACAAAAGTATGAAAAATATGTTTATTAAAAATTCTCCGTCAAAGGGTTAAATCCTGCAATTGATTCATTGATCATTTTATTTATATAAGGATATAGTTTTTCTTGAGAATAATGAAAGAACAATGTCTATATATATATTTTTTTGTAAAGCTTTCATTAGAATCAAATGGTTTGTCTGTGTTCCTATTAATTATACTTAAAATATCTCGCTTGTTTTAAATGCTACTTTTAACATATTTAGGTAACGTTTTGAAACGTTTTTTGCAATACTTTCGATATACAGTTTCTTTTTCTAAAAATATCTAGAAAGGAAATGGTTATGTATATTATTTTTCAAAAGTAAATAAACAATTATTTAAAAAAATGTCATTCATTGTGTATTTATTTAATTTTACTTTAAACTTATTTTATTTTTCAGTTTATGAATTATTATTTTCACTATGCAGGATGTCAGTTATGAACTATTATTTTCACTATGCAGGATGTCAGTTATGAACTATTATTTTCACTATGCAGGATGTCAGTTATGAACTATTATTTTCACTATGCAGGATGTCAGTTATGAACTATTATTTTCACTATGCAGGATGTCAGTTATGAACTATTATTTTCACTATGCAGGATGTCAGTTATGAACTATTATTTTCACTATGCAGGATGTCAGTTATGAACTATTATTTTCACTATGCAGGATGTCAGTTATGAACTATTATTTTCACTATGCAGGATGTCAGTTATGAACTATTATTTTCACTATGCAGGATGTCAGTTATGAACTATTATTTTCACTATGCAGGATGTCAGTTATGAACTATTATTTTCACTATGCAGGATGTCAGTTATGAACTATTATTTTCACTATGCAGGATGTCAGTTATGAACTATTATTTTCACTATGCAGGATGTCAGTTATGAACTATTATTTTCACTATGCAGGATGTCAGTTATGAACTATTATTTTCACTATGCAGGATGTCAGTTATGAACTATTATTTTCACTATGCAGGATGTCAGTTATGAACTATTATTTTCACTATGCAGGATGTCAGTTATGAACTATTATTTTCACTATGCAGGATGTCAGTTATGAACGTTCCCTTCCTTAGAATCCTTGACAAAACTAAAAGGACTAATATGCACGTTAGGATTAATTTTTAAAAGAAAAAAAAACAAAAAAGCTATTTAAACCTTACAGTGAGAGGCAAAACAGGAAACCTCAAAACCTGTTTGACTGTTAAAGTGAATAAATTGGAAATGATAGGCCTCTGTTAAAAACACCCTAAAATTTAATCAGACAATCGAATTGGTTTTGACTTTCTTCTTCATATGAACTGGCACATTTCAATCATAGAGCTGGAATAAAAGTAGAACAAGCCCTCTATTATATTTCATTACAATCTAAGTTTTAAAAATGGTTTAAAATGCTTCACATAATTCATACGTATATACATGCATGTATGTACTACGTATGGACATACATGCATTTTATGAACAGTACGCCGAAAATAAACGGCCGTCACTGAATAACTGTCGTACAAATGATCTTGACGTTTTAGGACCCAATTTAGTCCCGCAGTGGACTGATCGTTACGACACGGTTCCCAGCAGATCACCGAAGTCAAGCATCACTGGCTGCGGTCAGTGTGCGGGTGGGTGACCACTTGGATCAGCCTGCGTAGGGACCGAGGGTGTGCGGTATTGGTCCTCGTTAAACTGTTCTACCGTAAAGTGCTCGACTTCGCGTGCAGGTCGTCGGGCTACCGAAGCGGGGGTGCCATCCCCTCTGCAGAGGATCAAAATTGTGATGGCATGTCTTCGGATCATCCTCAGGGATGTTTCCCAGACCGTCGCCAATAGCCCATTGTGTAGCTCTAGTGCAACGCAAATGAACAATAACAACAAAGACTCAATTTTAATAATGCGAGAGGGTGACTTCAAATATGTTAATTAATTGGTGCTGACGATATCTTTAGTTATGAAATCAGACACAAAATACTTTCTTGTACGTTAACAAAAACACAAAAAAATATTATTGTTAGTCGCAATCTCGGAAATATGATCCCAATAGTTTGGTCAGGAGATAATTCCAACGTTTGGACTCCTTAATGTTAATTTCTTTTTTTGCATATTTCGCCATATCTTGAAAACTTTTTCAGGGAATCAAAAACTTTTTTAACACAATCATAAAATTTGTTTATCTAAAGATAATTACGTGCAAAAAAAATAACTTCCATACCACTCTTGCTTTTCGCTCGCTAACTCAGTGAATGTCACATAAATGCATCGAGGAGACGATTTGACGCGAAAACAATTCGTCGTGGTCACAATTCGTTGCATGGACAATACGTCGCAGTTACAATTCGCCGTGGGCATAATTTGTTTTTGTGACAATTCATAGTGGGTCCAATTCGTCACGAGAATAATTCGTTGTAGGTACATATCGTTGTGGACACTATTTGTTTGACTTCTGCCACACCTGTTTCGGACCCATTCAGTACCCCCAGAGGTATTGAAGAGATTTGTTACAACATGGAGGACTTTGTGACCCAACGGATTTAAAGTGCACCAGTCACCATTTACTACAGTGGGAGTCTTCGGCCGTCTGGTTTCGAACTCCCGTTCTCAGGAATTTTAGTGCAGCTCCTTACCAACCAGGTTACCCCGACCCTAGAATACCTGTTTAAAGAACAAAGTCACATTCACCTCCAAGAACTCTTTTGAGTGAAACTAATCAGCCTTTGCGCAAAATAGAGGTAAGAATTATGGAAACCTGTGGTGATTAGTCCGATGCCAATGGAGCTCTGTTTCTACTCAAGTATAATTTGCATCAGCATGACAATCTCTGCTGACAGAGATGCTACATTCATAAGCTAATTGGGGCTGTTTTATTATTTACTCTATATATTAGTATACGTATCACGATACCTACTACGAGTATTGTGGAAATAAGTTTTTACAGCCTACCGAATGGGCTAAGTGACGGAGAAATTTGCTGATTGTGGTAATTTGTGACTGTCAGGAGTTGAGTCTCAGCAATGGAATTATGCCAAATGATTGTGTTCGCATATCTTTTAATTGCGTGAATGATTTTGCAATGTTGATCATTAACGATTTATTGATTCTTAAATTTTTTTTCAAAAAGAAAAACAAGGATTCAGCAAGTAACAATAATAATAAACTAAAAAAGTTGCCTCAGGGTGCGTAACCAAATTATTCAACAAAAAATAAGCACCTTATGCACTTTTCAAGCACTTGAAAAAAAAAATATCATAATTAGGCAGGGTTGGAAAGTTTTTGACAATTGGTCGGTTTTATCTTGTTTTAATCATGTCAAAAAAAAAAGCTTTTGGCATTGTTTTGACAATTATGACAAATCCATTATTCAAATTTTGACAAAATCGTGAAATTTTGAATCATTTAAAAAGAATGGCGTTTTCATACGCTACGGATTGATAACATGCCGAAATAGATTGGGGTTGAATTAATTGTGAAAACGCTAAATAGAACTATGTGAACTGTATCTTTTTGTATAATTCGTAGCGAAAATCAACATGATAAAGGAAAAATCTGATTTTGAAAAAGGGAAAATTAAAAAACACCCAATGAAGAAAGCACCTTTAAGGGCTTTTAAAAGACAAAAATCGAAAATAAGCACTTTTCAAAAACGCTACACAAGACGCTAAGAACAAAATATTTATTTTCAACTCGAATTTGCTTTGAAAAAAAAATTTTAATTTTTTACTTGGGCAGTGTGTATGTAAATATTCTCAGGGGTAGAAGTATCAAGGATTAGTCCCATTGCTGTCGGGATATCCGTGGAAGATTTTCCTCTCCATGGTATGCAAATGCGGGTTAGTTCCATCAAAAAGTTCTAAACAAAGGCTAATTTCTCCCAATGCTTGATTCAGAACTTCCCTTGTCATCTGGAATAAATTGAAATTACAAGGCTACGGTATTGAACATTAATAGTCGTCAACTTAGAATTAAATCGGCTGCTCAACACTGGTTATGAAATAAAATATCAGAGTCATGGTGGCTCAGGAGATAAGATAGTTCACTTCCCAATGAGGTTTCGAACCCAACGGCAGCTGGTTCGTACCGGTGACTATCCGCAGTGGTAGACGGGTTATGGATTAGAATCCCTTTGCTGTCACGCTAATCGTGAGAATTTTGTGTGTTTTTTCCACTCCATGTTGCGTAAATACGGGATGTTTCCATCAAAAAGTCCTCCACGAAGGCTAGTTTGTTCAGGTACTTGATCCAATAGTTTTCTTGTGTTCTGGGTTGGGTTCAAAACTCTAAGGCTGCGTAGTTAAACGTTGATAGTCGTGAGCTCAGAAATTGGATCGGTGGTTCAACGACGGTTATAAATAAGGCAATTGAACTGATGATTAATAATTTATTTTATTTTACAGCTATACAACTATTTACATAATATTTCAAAGATCTACATCAAAATAGTCAATCAGATTTGTACTCGTAAACTTCGGACATCCAAAAATATGAGGTATTTACACTTCAAACGATAGACCATTTGGCATCTTCTTATACAGACAAACATCAATTTATTTTTAAACTATATTTTTGAATTGATGATTGATTACTCGATCACTAAAAAGTTTACAAATACAATAGGATATGAAGAAAAAAAACACAAAGATCACAGAGTATTAATGAAAAGGTAACTGATTTTATCCATTTGTGTAGGTACTGTGCTACGGACCTAACTGAAAGCTAACTCCCTGAGAGCATATCTCGTGTTTGCAAGACAGTAGCATAAGCCGCATTGTTGGAATGATCCATTAGAAATAGATTACCTAAACAATTTATTAGCGATTACTCGATTAAAAAAATTCCACACTTCTGTATTTGAAGTCAAAAATAGTAATCTCAATAATGTGCAAACATTTCAACTTAACAGTCTAAATGTGGTCATTTTAATATTATGCATAATATTAAAATATCGAATTTTTTTTTCTTAAGAAAGAGACCAGGTGCAAGTAAGAGATAATCAATTGAAAATATGGTCTGTTTCCTCAAGGGTGGAGCCTGGACGAGTTCTTATCTAATCATTAGAGCTAGTGCACCATCCAAGAAATTTATTTCAGTTCGCCCCTTGTTTTATCACTTATTAAAAAGCACAAACTTTTTTATAATTTTACAGACAATGCTTAAACCTACAGTAATAATTTTATCTTAAGATCATTTTTATGATTCATCAGACAATGCTTAGACCTAATAAAGGTTTACCTTTTTTGTGACAATTAATTTCGAGCAATTAAACTATTATTAATAACTGTAGCACGCTATTTCACTGTGGGCGTGTATCAAAACATTCATATACTGTCACTGTTGAAATTTTTTTTTTAAATTTACAGTTGCTGGGAAAAATACAGTTACCTTTTCATTTTAAATGTTGTTTTATATAACAACATAAACCAAATATATTTTAAATTTTGATGGCAAAAAATATATCAATGAACTGTAAGCAATATAAATGGTAATACAAAATTAATTTGGAAATGCTTAGATGAAGATATTTTTAACAATTATTATACACTTTTAGCAGTCAGCATATAATAAAATTTTACGTTCCGAAAATCAGCCCAATGAATATTGTTTCTCATCCAAAACTGGCAGACTTTTGTTATTTTTATACCTGGTAAACTTTTAATAAACCTGGTAAACTAAAATTTTAATGTAATAACGGAGATAAATTTCCGAAGTTTATATGCATAATAAATAATTTAAATATTTTATAAATTACGATTTCATTTAAACAGTAATGTATGTTTCACTAAATTTAATTGAATAAAAGTGAGTTTACTGAAGTGTTGAAAGAGAAAAAAAAAATTCCAATTCAGATGAAAAATGGCGACTGTAAAACATGAAAATTGTAATCAAAAAATTAAAAAAAAAAAAAAAAATCTTAATGTATGTTAAGTTTTAACAAAAACTTTCTGTAATGTTTTGATGGGAAATCCTTAATATTTGACACAACAAAAGTTTCACCTGGTTTGAAGCAAAAAGTCGTCGAAAACTAACAATTATAGAAAAATTTAGGTAACTATCATAAAATAAATATAAAATTTTTAAAAAAAATAAAACATAACGCATGAACGTGGGAAAACATCAAAGTGAATTAATTATTTTTTCCTTTGTCTCTTAAATGAAATTTCCGAAAATTTAGTTATTGAGCTGATTTTAAAACGCAAAATCAATTTTTCAAATATAAACATACAACATAAGTTTTTTTTAACTATTAGACATAATTTTCCTCACAATTATAATTTCTTTAAGCTCCATGAATATGATTAAATATACATATTCAAATTATATTATAAACACAATAAGAAAATACTCGAGATATTTTGCACATACGAACACATTTAAAGCTTCGATTGAATAATTATCAGTAATGGTAAAAAGGTTTGTATTAAAACTAATTGAAAACATCGAGATATTTTACACATACGAACACTTTTAAAGTTTCGATTGAATAATTCAGTAATGGAAAAAGGTTTGCATTAAAAATAATTGAAAACAGTTATCATAGAGTAAAAAAAATACTACTCGTTAGTTATCTACAGTTTCTACCATTACATTCGTTATGAAAGTATATGAATACTTTAAATGTGAAATTATTCAATTGGAAAACACGTGAAAAGATTTTATTATTTGATAATAAAAAAAATGGTACGTTAAAAACTTTTACATGTTTTAAACATTAAAATGTAAGCTAATATGTGCACATTTTTAAATTAAAATTGAAGCATTCAATAAATACTATGTTAAGTTTTGGAAAATAAAATTAAAAAATAATAATATACATTATTTCAGAAAAAAAAAGAAAGTTAACTATATTCAAGTACAAAGGCAAAAATATAAAAACCATTCTAAACGTTTCTTTAAGTTTTTATATTTTTTAAACAAATTAATAATAAAAATTTGCATTGTTTAAAATATCTTAAATATATAATAGAAGATTATAACAATTAACATAAAAATATGTAATAAAATATCGTAATATTTATTATTAAACATAATAATTCAAGAGTATTAAGTTTTCATATTAATTGTTCTGTAAGGCTGGTAATTTATATAAATGAACCTCACGGATTTAATTTTAATATTTAATGAATAAAGTAATATCTAATGAGGAAAATAAATGTTAAGCACAAAAATTTTATATTAATGGTTGCTATAAGGCTTGCAATTTATTTTAATTTACATCAATTAATAATAAATTACAAGACTTGAAACAAGAAATAGAATTTATCGTCTAAACATAGAAAATTAAGCGGAAAGCATTACAATATTTCAAAATCAAAGAAGTTTGATTAAAATATTATTAATTAATAGGATTACTATTATAGAAATTAAATAGATTTTGATTCCTTTAAGATATGCAATTGAAAAGTTATTAATTATTTTTTTTTATAAAACAAATATTGATATTAATTAACAATAACAGGTTTCACAAAAAAATTTATAGTTTTTTTTTTCAAGTGAAAACCTCATAAGAGATTCGCCTAAGTGACGAGCTATTTACTGAAACATAAGTGATAAGTTTCACTACTTTCTGTTACTCATTTTGTGAGTACTAACTTCTTGGCGCTCAAAAGGAGAATGGAAAAAAAAACTGCCGACAAATATATTAAACAGTGCACTTTTGGTTGTTCTTTTAATTCAAATTTTATTAAAAGCGAAAATTTCAAAGTGTACTAATTAATTTCATTTCTCAAGATTTATAAACATCGAGCTGTCTATTGAAATTTTTGTAAGTAACAAGTTTCATAACTTTCTCTCTCCGATCTTGTGAGTGTCATCATTCAAAAAGGTAATGGGGAAACAACATGCCTTTGAATAAATTAACTAGCAGCGCAATTAAGAATTTTTTTCCATCTTGCAGTACAATTTTTATTAGTACTTATGATTCAAAAAAAGATTCGTCAAAATAACTAGCTTGAAATTTTTGTAAGTAGCAAGTTTCATTACTTTCTTTCTCGGATCTTGTGACTACTATCTCATGATTTGTACCTTACTTTCTTTCTCGGATCTTATGAGTACAATCGTTCAAAAGGGTATTAAAAATAACCGTTTCTGAATAAATCAACAGTGCAATTACGATTTTTATTATCTTAATAGCACTGCAATTTTTAGTAAGACTCATGATTTCACAATAACGAGCTGCTTTTTTTAAATATTAGTAAGCGATAAGTTTCGTAACCTTTTGTTCCGTAGCAACCTTGGATAACTAATTTTTCCAGAAAAAATTTTTTTTTATAGAAAAGTTAAATTGGGCAATTTTTTTTTTAAAAAAGGGGGTTTTCATGAAATTTTTTAGATACGGGGTTCTATTCTAGCAGCGAGATACATTTTTATATTTAGTAGTTCAGAACGTTATAGAATTTCGAATATTTTACGTTTAGAACTGTAATTAAAAACGTATCTTTTTCCAAATCAATTAATTTCGATTCTTTTAGGTTTAGAAGTGTAATGAAAAACTATATTTTGCCAAATCAATTAATTTTGATTCTTTTAAGCTCAGAAGTGTAATAAAAAACCATATTTTGCCAAATCAATTAATTTTGATTCTTTTACGTTTAGAAGTGTAATGAAAAACTATCTTTTGCCAAATCAATTAATTTAGATTCTTTTAAGCTTAGAAGTGTAATAAAAAACCATATTTTGCTAAATCAATTAGTTTAGATTCTTTTACGTTTAGAAGTGTAATGTAAAACTATATTTTGCCAAATTAATTATTTTTAATTCTTTTACGTTTAGAAGTGCGATGAAAAACTATCTTTTGCCAAATCAATTAATTTTGATTCTTTTACGTTTAGAAATGCGATGAAAAACTATCTTTATCCAAATCAATTAATTTCGATTCTTTTAACGTTTAGAAGTGTAATGAAAAACTATCTTTTGCCAAATCAATTAATTTCGATTCTTTTACGTTTAGAAGTGTAATAAAAAACTATATTTCGCCAAATCAATTAATTTCGATTCTTTTACATTTAGAAGTGCAATAAAAAACTATCTTTTGCCAAACCAATAAATTTCGATTCTTTTACGTTTAGAAGTCTAATGAAAAACTATCTTTTGCCAAATCAATTAAACTAACTAAGCAATAGAATGTTTTATTTTCTGTCCCGTTGTCCACAGTCTTAATTATCTGAAAGACGCACGCCTTCGTAATCGGCCCACTTTGCCGTCGTATCAACAAGAGATTGATTCAAACAAAGCATTTTCTTGTGAAAGAAAAAGAAAAACAAAGAAAAAAAAAGAGCTTATCTTATTTACTTATTAACTTCAAGCAAAGGCACACGACTGATATGCTTTTCTATTGTAGTCACCTGTAGACTATAAACTATGGGTGTTAAAATCAAAATTTCCGTTTTTCTTTTCCCAATCTTAGGTCGATTAAAAGATAAGAGAAAGATAAAACATTTGTGATAAGAGAAAGAAAATAATGAAATTGATTCTTTTCTCTAATGCTTTTAGTGTTGTTAACCAGATACTGATCAAATTTTATTGTCTATAGAAACAATTTACTAGAAAAGTTTTTCATCCAGTGCTGAATTTCTTTTTTATTTCTAATGTTTTTCATTTATTAAGTTTTTCTAGAAAATGATTTCATTCAAAGAAATTATCCATTGTAATTTTCGGGTGACAATTTTTTTAAAAAAAACTTTTCGCCCGATTCAGTTCTCTAATGAAATTTCCCGATATCTTTTTTTAAAGTTTCCAAGGGGATATTTTTCAGTCAAAGTAGCTCTTTATTAAAATCTCCTATCCTTTTTTTTTTTCGCCCAATGCAGTTTTCTCTTGAAATCTCCTTAACTTTTTCTCTCGTAAAATTTTTTATTTTTCTCTGTAAAATAGGTTATTTATTATTATTCCTATAAACATGTGATTTAAAAAAATTAGAAATTTATAGCTATTACTAATTACACTAATTAGAATTATTTATAGCTATAACATGGAATGTGAATATAATGGAAAATATTGCAGCAAATAGGTAATTGAGTTACTCATTTAAATTTTTGCCAATTAAATATTATTTTAATTCTCTAAAGTTTAAATGAAAGTACATTAAACTATGATGAGTAATGTATCAATATCTTTTCCTTTCATAATGTTGTCTATGAAAATATTTTGTTTTTTTTTTCGTAATTTTAAAGTTTATTTTAAGAAATTTACTAATATATAAATAATCCCAAGAAACTGACTTACTAAATAAAATTCTTTATTCGCCTAAAAAACACACAAATTGAAAATAACAGTCGACATGTATCAAGCGCTCAAAAACAGACGCCCATTTTCAAAACTTGTCAGACGTGAATAAGAAACAAGAGTGCTTTGCTATAAAAAAAACTTTAAATTGCCAACGTTTATATTCAACGTTGATTTTTCGTTTGGCAGCCTTGCGTTTCATATTTCAAATTACTTTTGTTTCTTCCTATTCACATTTGGCAAGTCTAGAAAATGGGAGTCAGTTTTTGAGCACTTGAATCATGTAGACTGTTATTTCCAATTTGTATATTTTCGAAGCGAACAAAGGTTTATAAATTAATATAAATAATTATTGAAGAATTGAGATATGGGCATTAATGAGTTATCGAATAAATGATTAAAAAAATTCGCTTGAATTTCGTTTGTAGTTATTTAAATTTTTAATTTTCTTGCAGTAATTTAAAAGCTCGTAATTAAGTCCAATACAAAAACTGCATTTAAAGTTGAGGTTTCGCATTTTCTGTGATGCATTTAATATTCGAAATATAAAACACGATCATCGATGCGGGTAACTATTAAATTTTGCTCCGTTTCTAATAAACTCTGGTTTTTAGCAGCGGCGTTCCAATCACGTACGTTTTTTGGATCGCCCTTTGAAATGTCTCGTGTGATGCCTAATGTTTTTGTTCAACCGTTCATCGTTGGGCTCGTCCATTGCGATGCATCTACAAGAATCAACGATCAGTACAGTCTTTTGCACAACCGGTGGGATCAGATCGGGACAATCAAGTGTGACATTAGACCACCTTAAACGATCCGGTTTACAGTTAGAGTAAGATTGGAACGCAACTCCTTCAGAAGTCCTTTGCTGAGGTATAAAAAAAGAATTGCACTGTCCGTAGCAGAAGTTATTGTTGATAACCTTTGGCTTGCACCGCGGTGCAGTCACTTTGTGAGTAAAAGGTATAGTGCGGCACCAGTCTTTTTTCACCTCACTAGCACTAGTGATTATGTGTGCCTCACTATCAGATTTGAGAATTGAGCTCCTGTGTTGCTTCCTGCCCTTTCGTCCGCCCTCTTGTGAACTATTCGAGTGCTTCCTGGACTTCAAAAGCAGTCGATGCCGCCGCTTATGTTTACGACGCCATTGAGGAGGAGAGTCTGATGGGGGACTCTGACGTCGTATCCGGTTCCGTTTGGCGACAACTTCATCAATGAGAGACCACACTTGACTTTCATCCATCGCTGGAGACTCTTCGGTTTGGGTATATCCTGCACCAGGTGACGTCACGGCCACTTCAGCGACGACGTCACTCGATTGTAGTACGCTATCGTCTCGAGTATCGAGATATTCGTCATAGTCTGTGACGCCGTGATCACTGTCTGGACGGGGTGCTTCAGAGGCGTAGTCTGCGTCACCTAATGAGTCCTTTCTACCGATAAGGAATGATTCTGGGGAGATTTTCTGTTTTTGTTGTTCTTCCATGATTTTGAGATCTTCTGAAAGTGATGGTGATAAGTGATAATTCCGGATATCTCTGCAAAGACCACAGCTGAAGTGAACGATGGTGAAGAGGAGGAAGTAGATGAAGAATTCCGGCCGTGGCTTTGGTTTGGGACGAGGCTTCATTTCAGGTGGACAAACCTTGGAGTGAAAAAAATAAAACTAATTAACATGCTAAATTAAAACTAATGCACAACGGGTATATAAATTAGTTAACAATCAATGCACAACGGGTATATAATTTAGTTAACAATCAATACACAACGGGTATATAATTTAGTTAACAATCAATGCACAACGGGTATATAAATTAGTTAACAATCAATGTACAACGGGTATATAAATTAGTTAACAATCAACGCACAACAGTAATAATTATATAATATAAAAATTTAGAATCCTTTTCAAAACAATATGAACATCAGGGACCGCCATTTTGCTCACGACTCTTAGTATGATGAAGCCCACCATTATGGTCCACCTGTTATACCAGCTGTAAGCAAAAGATTAAAAGCAAGGAAGATACCAAAACGTAGTTCTTCATACTCTTTGTTTTAAAAACTTCAATAATCGCTTCAAAAATATGTAAATTGGAAATAACAGTCGACATATTTAAGCGCTCCGAAACAGACACCCATTTTCTAAATTTGCCAGACGTAAATGAGAAGAAACAAAAGTTATTTGAAATAAAAAACGTAAAGCTGCCAACGAAAATTGGGATTGGCACATATGAATAAAATAAAACTAAAAAAAAAACTGCACTAGCTGAGAGATAAAAAAACAGAACATGAAAAACTACAATGGACTCAAGGGGCGAATTAGGGTAAAATGCCTTTCCATACACTATAGAGAAGTGGTGAGGAATTAATGTCGTTAACATAGTGAATGGCATTCATATGAATAAAACAAGATTCCAGAGCATCAAGATGAGCTTATGCTCTGGATGATGAACTGAAACTATGAATGCCGATTCCTTTGTTAATGACCGCTCCATAGCGCGTGGAGAAGCATTTTTACCCGATTTGACCCTCTCGGCCACTGTGGTTTTTCTTGTTCGGTTTTTCACCTTTTTTTTCTCTTGACTTCCGTGGTTTTTCTAGTTTTGTTTCTCGTCTTTATTTTTAGTTTGCAACTTAACATTTTACATTTCAAATCACTTTTGTTTTCTCTCATTAATGTAAGTCAAGTCTTGAAAAAGGGCGCCTGTTTTTGAACGCTTGAAACATGTCGACTCTTATTTCCAATTTGTATATTTTTGAAGCGAATGAAGTTTTTAATGAAGTAATACATTAACGCTTCAGTTACTTGGGATTATTTATTTAGTAGCTCTTCATAATTCATTGCTAGCGTTCATAGAACTTCAAACTTTTGTTAAGTTGGCGGGTTTCAATAACAATAATTCAAACAAATCTTCACGAATTTAAACTGTATAGTTAAATTTTTATACTGTATAGATAAGTTTTTTTTTATAGGGCCAAAACAAAATATTTTTGGGATCTATTTTGACCCTTAACTTTTCATTTTTATGCAATTATAGAAAATCAACTTATAATTTTGCGGAACAAACTTTCTTTCGGCTTGGGTTCTATTTTTGAGAAAAATTTACTCATAATTTAGTGACAAATTAGCATTAAACGTCATTGGCTACATTTTTAATGGAAAGACTTTGTGCAGAATTAGTTGTTAAAATAAAAAATAATGTTAACTATTTTTTTTTTTAGATAAAAATGCTTTGTGAAGGATCCACTTTCAAAGCATAAAAATTTGAATGGTTCATTAAAAGACCTACATTTTTCCTTAATCAGACCTCTGAATTTATTCCTTGTTTTGTTTCTTCCTGGGTTTACGAATTTTTTGAGCTCTAGTTAGAAAATATGCCTGCTTGCGTCCCACAGAAGGCCTAAGGCAGTGTTTTCCAAAGTGTGGAACCCCCAGGGGTACGAGAACAGTTTAGCGGGAGTACGCGTTCTTATGCGAAATATCTTGCAACAAACGAAAATTTCCAAATTTTTATTTAAAAATAAAGCTAGCCATCAAAATGTATGATTACGTATTTTTCTATTGGCTATTTTTTTTTTTTGCAGAGTTAACAGTTAATAATTAGTGGTATCAACAGCCAGTTGCGTTTTTTAACTTTATTGCAATTTTTTTATTGTAAAAAATACGTTCATTTTTTTATTAGTGGTACACAGCGTTACAAAAAATTTAGAAAGAGTACACAAAAGTCATAAGTTTGGGAAACACTGGCCTAAGGCATTGCATGCGTGCTATTCAATGAACATAGCAGGCAGGTAAATAATTATATACATACACTTTTATTCCCATCCTCTTTTTATCTTTGAGTATTTATTTAACGTAAATATATTACTTAACCCAGCAATGGCCAAGCATCTAGCCCCGTTTTACCAAACATACTTAGTAGTCAGCGTCTGAGCTAGTACTTCTCTCTCCAAAATTCTATTTTATTATTTAACGTAAATATATAACTTTACCCAATCATGCCCAAGAATTTAGTCCCGTTTTTAAAGACTATCTTTTTAACAGACATGGTAGGGAATGCCACGAATGTCTGATAGATCCAGGGACTAATATAGGGCCTTTATATCTATGGATAGATCGTAATGTCAGGATCGACCACGATGTCTGATCCTGGTCGATCAGACATCGCGGTCAGCTTCTTAAATAATACTTCTCTTACCGAATTTCCACACCACGACCAAAATATAAATACAAAGTATAGTTCCTTACATTTTAAGTATCACGTTGTAAATAGCATTTAAATTAAAGTTTTAAATTTTTCTTATACATTTCAACATATGTTGAAACGAAACTGATTTTAAAAAAATTAAATTATATTTAGTAACATTAAATACAGGGTTATTATAGTTTGTCCGAAAGAAACCTTTTTTTTTCCCGGACACTTCGAAAAATTGTTAATATAGGTAAATGAAAAGTTCCAAAAAACAATAAAAAATTAATATAGCATTAAAAGTTTATAAAAATATACAGGTAATTTCTTTAAAAAAAATAATTTTTTTTTTATTTATTAAAATTGTATACACAATTTAAACATATTCCTTATTATAACAACTAATTAGAAATTTTAGTTTATATCATTCTTATTTTCACAACATCTTATTTCTAGATGTGCACTTATTTCTATATAAATTATGTGTCCTTATATTGTTTTAAGTTGATTGAATTTTCTGTTTTATGATAGAATTACCTAAAAATTAAAATAAATAAGTAAAACATCGAATTTAAAATTATTACTTAGTTAAAAAACTTTAAATTAATAAAATTTTCAGTACAAATTTATTTAAATGATAAATCTAACATAGCTAATAGTATTTTTAGATATTAATTTTGTTCTTAACTCAGTGTTTTTACAAAAAAATAAGAACTAATTTTTAAACTGGATTTATAACATTGAAGATTAGTAACTTAAATTCATAATATTAGTAAATCCTGTGCAAAGTAGTGTACAGCTATAAAAACGTAAAAATAACCTTAGCTGTATTTGAAAACATACAAGTTTAATTAATTAATAAATTTATTTTATTCATTTATTTATTTTTTTATTTTTCGATCTTTGACTGAAAATGTTTTTGAAATTTCTCATGATTTTTAGCACAAATATTTAAAAAAAACCTTTAACGTATTCTACAACTTAATCAAATTTATAAAATTAATCATTTATTTGAAAATAAAAATTCGTGGATAAAAAATTCTTAAGTTAATTTTATAAATTAAAATAAACGTATAATTTTATGATTAGATGTATAAAAATATTATATTCCTTAGTGTAAGACATTGAAAAACAAACAGTTATTTAAGTGTTTTAAGAAATTTATTCAACTTTTATTTTTTTTCCGATTTTCACTTGAAATGATTTATTAAACTAGTGGGCTGCGCCCCCTGCTCCCTAACGCTCGCCAACCCCCGAAAAATGCTACGCAATCTTATATGGTTTGCTTCGCAAACCAAGCTCGCTTTACTCGCTACTAACTTAGGTAGATTGCAAATGCACAAAATTATAAGAATTCAAAACAATCATTCAAATCCATATAACAACTCTTTTTTTTAAAAAAAAATGACATCTTTTTAGTAAATACTAAGTCATTAAAATAAATTTGAATTCAAATAAATGACATGTAATTCGTTAAACCTATTAGAAATGTGCTATAGTATAAAATCTTAAGATAAAATTTCTAAAACTTATATCTCTTTAAAAAGGTTAGAATTTTGGCTATAATTAAGTCTATTAAAAATTTAAATAAGTGAATTGCAATGGAAAAACCTGCATTAACAAATAAATTCTAGTAAAACAAATAAATTCGTGATATAAATCAAAAATCGTCAAATAAATTCGTAATATATAAATTCGTGAAAAAAAGCGCTTTCGACAAAATACTAACATAGAGATCTATCGACAAAGACTACTCACTTCTGCCTAGCTTATGCTCCCTCTGGTTATTTCAGTTTCCGTTTTTAAAAGCGCTATATGTTGAGCCATCTCAGCTAGATTTGGCATGTGACATTTTTAGCGGCAATCATTGGTCGATTTTCTAGCGTTGCCATTCGGGGAGTTGTAATGAGGCTTTTTTTGTCGCCGTGTAAGAGAAATATATATAGAGATGACTTGTAAATAGTTAGATGATTGCAATTATAAATTGTTTAAGATTTCAATTTAATATTTAATATTTCTTTTTATAAAAAACTGTTTCCGCCTTTATGAAAGAAACTCTTCTTTTAATAAAAGAAATATTAAGTCAGAAATATTAATTATGGAGTTTTTTTCCATTATGAAAAAAAATTTATCATCTCTACATATAGGAATCTATAACATATATGGATAGGCTAACTAAAGATTTCTTAGATCTGTAGTTGTAATGTTGCTTTAATGAAGATAGTTTGATAATATAAAAGAATTATTATTCACTTATTATGCAATCTTCTACAATATTTACAATAATACAATTATTGATGCAATATTCTCTAATTATTTATGTACATATGGATCAAGTATCTTGTTTCTTATGAATGAATTACTTCACAAGACAAAATATTTCAACGAAACTGTATTTTGTGTAGCACAATTACTTAAAGGGTAAAAGAAGCAAGTAATGCATAAATTATAACTTTTAAATACTATTGACTACTACTTTTAAATAACTTTTAAATTTTATTGTGAGCCTAAGTCAAAATTCCGGAAAATTATTCTGGAGTTTTTTTTAAAAAAACAGTTTAAATTGAACAAAAATTTAAACAAAGTTTTTTTCCTTTTTCTCAATATTTCTTAGTTTACTTAAAATATATTTTAAATTTTACACATACCTATACCATTTACACATACCTATGATGACCTGGAGAAGTAATTAAAATTTACAAATGTCTTTCTTTCTTGAATTTATGATTATGAGAACTATTTACTGATGAAAAATGAATATTAATCATGAATATAAGCTTATAAAGTATCTCTTTGGCTCTCCCTTACAAACAAATAAAATAAACCTAGTTTTTAAGTTCCACCGGGAAAAAATTCGATTTCTGGAAACTTTTGTGATCAATGATTTTTTGAAACGTCTGAACCTTCGATCTACTGTTAGCAAAAATTCCGAAAATCCGGATTTTTTCCGGAGCACAATCAGCCCTGTTAAATATCATAGTTTCTACACGTAACATAATAGTTGAGCAGTATTGCATAGTAAAGTGATTTAATGTAGAGAAAAAATTAAGAATTTATCTACCGGGTTTTTCCGTAGATAAAATCAAAAAGCCCGCTTTTAATTGATGCAAATCAAATGAAGACATCCACGCTGGAATAGCAAAAGGACCCAAGTAGTCATGCTATTTCGAAATGCGAGGCCAATTCTCTACCAGCAATGAAGAGATAAATCACAGAAGTCATTATTTATTAAATTAAAGAAAATATTTGAGCAGATGATGCGGTGCCTTCGTATAAAAAACACTTCTTATAATCCTCTTTTCCTCAATTTGCAAAAATAATAATGATAATTTGAGATACGAAATCAGACACAAAAACGTACTTTCTCTGAATTAAAAATCTGAAAAACAGACCCACATAATATAGGGGGTGCCGAAATCGGGAAGGCCATTTTTTTTTTTTTTTTCCTTTATTTTTTTGCTGCGGAACCTTAAATAATCAGCCTTCTTTTGGCGGAACCCCGGCTTCATAAAGCAGTTTGTTAAGGTAAAAAATTTTAAAACATTTAATTGGAGGAATAAAAATTTTTCAATCTTAAATTAGATTTTGTGCCCGATAGTTAAACTTTCAGTCCAAGTGCTTTGTCTCTTGTAGTTATGGATTTGTTTTTGGTCTATATACATAAGGTGAAAATGAATGAAATAAGCCACATTATGGTTCACTAAAACTTCACTGGTAAAACTTTAAAGAACTACTACTAACGTTTAAAATGGGGGAATATTTCCTCATCGTGATCTGTTGCGCCAACGACAATCGCTGAGGTACCAAATAAATTTTAAACTTGCAAATTTTTAAAAAAAAATCATGTAGATGTTAGCCCGGGTGCGGCTACGAGTTATACCTTTCAAGTTGGTTCCTTTCTGTGATGTTTTCCAAATACAATCAAATTTTACAACTTATCACTATCACTAAATGTAATAACTCACGGAACTCGTTTAACTCTTCCAGGAACCCTAGGATTCCGCGTAACACCATTTGGGAACCACTGAATAATGTAAATGAAAGCATCATTAACTAATGGTGGGAAGTGGTCTAAATTTACTAAATATGATAACGATACAAATAAACAAATCAAAATGATTTGAGAAAATTAAACATTAAAATGGAAAACATTGCATCAGCACTTGGTGTTTTTAAATTATCATCCTCTAATTTCATTTAACAATGCAATCTACAGAACTTACTTTCTTTGTAAGTAAAATGAGACATTTTAAAACAAAACTATTTAAAAAAGAATTATAATTACCTTTAATGATAGAAATGGTAATCCAAAACAATTTAGATTTCATATTACATAATTCCATATTCTTTCGCACAATGTCATTAGCTATCAACTTTCCGAAGAAAAAGATCAAGATCTTATATCGATTTCAAGAACACTTTTTTTTTTAACCCGCCTTATCGAACAACAATGAATGGGCGCAACAAGTGCTGAAGCACACTTCACACTTATGTTTTCCGGTGGCTTTGAAGGAGGGTAGAGGCGAGAAGGGGGGAGGTATCTTACCAAATATTTGCTTAGTTGCGATCCCACGCAAAACGGAGATTCCCGACCTTGAAACAGGAAGTTCTTAAAAAAAAAGAGTGCTTTTTTTTGTTCTTCTGTACCCTATTCAAATATATTTTTAGTTTTTACGTTCAGAATTTTTGACCTAATATGTTAAAGTGCGATTTGCTATAATTAAGGATATAACTCATGTTTGAATTGGATCTTTTTTTTAACACTTGTGAATGACGAATTTACGCGTATAATCTCTTAAGGGTAGAGGGATGCACGATCTTTTTGAACTGTGAAATCAGCGGTTGAATTCGATTCCGGATTTTCCTGAGAGCATGAATCCGACTCTCAGTTTACACCAATAAAATGTTGGATCGAATCTCAGGAAAGAATGAAGATTATTACAAAGTAAATGTTACTTTCAAATATATATTTCTTCTTTTTTTTAAGTTCGTGACTAGGACTGGGCGATATAAGAAATTTTATATCGCGATGCATCGTCAGTTTTGCATCGCGATATAGTATTTTTGAAATTCATTTACTTGTAAGGCGCAGAAAGTCGGATTTCTATAAAAAATTCATACTCAGATTGATTTAAATCAATTTATGATTTTAAGTATATGTTTCGCTTAAGGAAGATATTAATGTTATATTTTCTAAAAATGATCGCGCAAATAACGAAAGATTTTTTAGTTTAAAAATAAATAATAAAAAAATAAATAAAATTGAAATTTATCAATATATTTACCTAACAATATAGAAAGAAAATTTAAAAAATAAGTTCGTTAAGAATTATTTGTATGCTTAAAACAAAGTGCTAAATAAATTAAACAAAAAAACACTTTTAAAACAACACTATTTTTTATCATTATTATTTCACATAAATAATAAAGTTAAATTGAATGATTACCGAATCCTGAACGAAAAAGGAAAGTAAGGTTTAATTTCTTAAAAATAAACTTCACAATTAACCCTTCACAAAATATCTTTTCGTAAAAACGGACCCTTCACAAAATATTTTAACTTAAAAACGGACCCTTCACAAAATATCATGATGACTACNATGTCTTTACAATTTAAAAACTCCTTGAAAAAGTTTTTTTTTGCAATAACGGACCCTATTTGCACAAATTCATAAAAGCGGACCCTGGTTGAAAGAATGTGAGTAATTTTTTCACAATTTAACGAAAAACGGACCTTTCACAAAATGTCTGGACAGACCCCTGGAAGTGCTAAATGATTTTAAAAAAAGAAGTCGCAATCGCAAACATTACTAATTTTTTTGAATAAACAAAGTTGATTGACTTATGTCCAAATCCAAAAGAGGAAAAATAAGTTATAATTTTATTTATAAAAATGAAAACAACTAAAGATTTATAAATTTAAAATCAGTAATAAAAACCCATTAAATTATTATTTTATCCAAAAAGTTTTTATAAATTAAAATTAAGTAAAAGATAGCCTAACAAATTTAATTACTTTTTAATTTAATTCTTTATGGGCACCTTAAATTAGATTTCCGTTTGTAATAAATTCAATAATGTAAAATAATACTTAAGCATATAATATCAAAATTAATTTTCACATTTAAAAATAAAAAAGAAAGTTTTGTTTCAAAAAAAAAAATTTACCTAATTAATTAAGAAACACTTCTTTATATATTCTTTTCAATAATAGATTACGTTCAGAACAAGGTAACGACGGCGATCACAAAGTCAGTCCCACTGAAAATAATCTACAAGAAATGATATCAAGTCGCGACAAAGTAAAAAACTAAGAGGTGAGGAAACGAACTTGTGGAACCATTTCTCAGGCTACCGTTCTGTGGGAAAGCTTTTCTAGTGATGTAATATCTATTTATTGATAAGTTTTAATACTTAGTTCTTTAATATTAAATAATATTCCTTAACAAGAATAAAAAGACAAGAAGAAGTTGACGAAATAAGGGATAAATGTTAATATGCAAACAATGAGGGGTCTGTTTAGAAGAAATTTGGGTCTGTTAACAATTGGGCTTTCACAAATTTGTTTATTTTCATTATTGTTTTGTTAATCGAATAAACCCTTCCTAAGGGGAAACACAAGAAAGATGGGTGTAAACGAATTAAGTTTTGTCTTCGGCAGACGCTTCTTCCATTATTCGTCCGAAATGAATAATCTGCGTTCAGCAGTATAGGCTAAATACCAAATATTTGTATGTTGAATCTCTAATTTAGAAGCAGCAATTGCTGTTTATTTTAGAAAATTTAATTTTTTTTATTATAATTTTTCAGTGCTGAGCATAATCTTATATCTCTTTACAATTTAAAAACTCCTGGAAAAAGTTTTTTGCAATAACCGGACCCTATATTTGCACAAATTCATAAAAGCAGGACCCTGGTTGAAAGAGTGTGACTTAACATTGTTTTATATTCACAAATTACGAGAAATTTTTTTCACAATTTTACAAAAACAGGACCTTTTACAAAATGTCTGGACAGACCCCTGTGCTGAATACAGTTAACCTTTATTTTGATGGTATGAACAACTTAAAAGGTATGAAGTGTGTGTTTTGCTTAATAACGGAAAGCGAGACAAATAAAATTTAAAAAAAAGAGATTTTTTTTAGCTTCATTATTTGCGTTAGTATATCTTTTAGTTTTGTGCATGATTTAAGTGTTATTTAGTATTGATTTATTAATTATTTTTATTCACCCTATACTAGGGGTTCATAAACCAGCGACCCGCGGGTCACATGCGTACCACCGACTGTTGATATGTGGCCCGCGGGAGCTTCTGAACGCAATAAAAAAAATTCTTTTAATTTAGTTAATGTTCAAAACATTATTAATTTTCTTAAATTAAAATATTTAATTTAAATTTATATTACTCTAAAATTCTTATATTTTTGGCACTTTCATTCGGTAAGTTTCTTTTTGGTTAGAATTTATATCCACTCCCAATATTTATGTACTCATATGTATAAATTAATATATAATATATTAGTATATATTTAATAACAGGGGTTTGTCCAGACATTTTGTAAAAGGTCCGTTTTTTGTGAAAATGTGAAAAAATTACTCACATTCTTTCAACCAGGGTCCGCTTTTATGAATTTGTGCAAATAGGGTCCGTTATTGCAAAAAAAAACTTTTTCAATGAGTTTTTAAATTGTTAAGACATACAAGATTATGCTCAACACTGTAAAATTATAATTACAAAAATTAAATTTTAAAAAATAAACAATAATTGCTGCTTCTAAATTAGGGATGCAACATACAAATATTTGGTATTTAGCCTATACTGAACACAGAACATTAATTTCGGACGAATAATGGAAGAATCGTCTGTCGAAGACAAAACTTAATTCGTTTACATCTATCTTTCTTGTTTTCTGGCCTGGAAGGGGTTTATTCGATTAACAAAATAATAATGAAGATAAACAAATTTGTGAAGGGTCCGATTAAAAGAAAAATCATTTTGTGATGAGTCCGTTTTTACGAAAAGATATTTTGTGAAGGGTCCGTTAACGGACCCAAATTTCTTCTAAACAGACCCCTGAATAAATTAATTATTGTGAAAAATCGAATTTTTTTTAAACATAAGTATTAGTTTTTTTAGTTTTAAATAAATTCAAATAATTAAAAGCATTTAATTTTCTGCAAATATGTCATTAAGTTTACTGATAAAAATATTTAGTGCTTAGAACACAAATGTTTTGATAAAAATTATCATATTTGCCGCTAACATGACTAAATATGCGTGCGGCCTTTCGTTAATCTACCTGCTGTGCAAGTGGCCCTTCACTCAAAAAGGTTGTGCACCCCTACCCTATACGAAAAATGGGAATCACTATAAAAGCACCTATTATCGCAATACTGTCCCTAAAACGGAATAGCATCCACAAATCTACAGCATAAATAAGCTCTAAGCATATTTTATATTTATCAGAAATGAAATATATAAAAAATTCAATTAAGGAAACCTTTTGTCGAGTAGTAAGAATTCATTTCAAAGATTTTTTGGTAAAATCTATAAAGCATCAATTGCTCATAGTGTATATTTTTTAGAATCCTTGCCAAAAGTGAACTCGCAGAAATACACATATTATCTATCTAAATCTAATATTCAAGCAAAAGAAAAACGCTACTGAAATTTAGCACAATATTGAGGAAAGCAAGTACATTGAATATCAAGACCTGTTTGATTGCCAGAGGAAAGAGTGATGAATTGAACGAAGATTGCTAGAAAAACTTTTAAGTTTCACACGTTCAAATTTTGTATTTTATTTCTTAAAATTCAATTACTTAATATTCAATTTTCTTTAAAGAAAGGGGCAAAAAGTGGCGATTGTTAAAAATGCAACATCTGGCCGGTGACAAAATTTTCGAATTTTGCCAATACTTTGTACCTCTAATTTAATCTGTATCATCGCTATATTTTTTATCACATTAAGCACATACTTCAATTAATGGCCGGGATAGCCCGGTTGGTAGGGCACTGGGCCCATGTCCATGAGTTCGTGGGTTCGATCTCAGGCCGGTCGAAGTAAATGGGGACTGATGCACGTTTAAATCTGTCAAGTCGCAAAGTCTGCCATGTTTCCATAACAAATCAATACCTGTGGGAGTGCTGATCTAGGAGTTTCCTTGTCTTCTGGATTGGTTCAAAATTACATGGCAACGGAGTTGAACAATAGTAATCGTAAACCCAAAATTAGGTCAGCTGTTCAACGACGAATATAATATAATATACTTCATTTCATATACGGGAAGTTTCTAAGGATTGCTTGTAATTGTTTTTCAATTCATGATGAGATAATATACTTTGCTGAAATAACTCGGGTAAAAAAAATTAAAAAAAACTTTGTCGAAAAAATAATGTTAACGAGTATTATTTAAAAGCCTAAATAAAATATAATAATTAAAAAAAAAAAAAACAGAGGTATCGCGATTTTGTCGACTTCAATTTGAGAAGAAAAAAAATTTATAAAGTTTTTTTTTCTATCGTGTTGAACAGCCATCTAAATTTTAAATTTACAACTACCTTTATTCAATTCCGTAAGCCTTGTAATTTTGAACCCAACCCAAAAGAAAACTTTCACCAGTTAGCCCGACGGCAGGAGATTCTAGCAACACCTCCTAGAATAATGAAGGCCTCAGCACGGATCAAATTAGTAGTCCGATGTGACGAAGTTAACTGCGCAGTTGATGAAAAATAAGAAAGATGTCATTACGTTCGGGGTACTAAGCTGCGCAGTGGTTGAAAATACGAAATATGTCATTACGTTTGGACTACTAAAGGATATTTATGGTAACCCGTGCAGAGGCCTACTCTTTTCTAGGAGGTGTTGATTCTAGCCCATGCTCAGTCAACCATCACTGAGAACATTTCACGTCAACACTGTGGTCGTTGCAAGCCAGTTGCAGAATTCGTATCAACCAGCTACCGCTGAGATTCGAACC